CTCATTACTGTTTGGTAATAAGTGAACTGAGGGCAGATCCCAGAACCTATTGTAAATGAGTGATTTGAATTAATTTTACGCTGTTCCTTCCTCCTTACCAGTAAACTGATCGGTTTACTGACGGTGTTGACAACTGTCACGCGAATTGGGCCTCGGGGGTGTGAAATTAGCACAAGCATGTGCTGTCAGTCGTGGTGAATGTGTAGATTCTCAAACATCCGCGAGCAGGTGACAGACAAGCTTTATTGTGTTTAGCTGATTTACTCGTCACGTGGGTGTGGCGAACGCCGATCTACGTTGATTACGAAAAGAATACGAACGCTCTGAACCGCATTTTACTTCCGGTCTAGTTTCCACGATGCAGTCCCGTTGCAACGAGCGCCCAGTAATTGAGAGGTGTTATTGACAAAGACATGGTGAACTAAAGTGATAATATGTGACTTACTTGCTGCCGTCAGCCAGTTCTAACTCACCCCCAAGCGGGGAAAAACGGGCCGAGAGCTCTATCGTTGAGCCACGAACCCATGTCCTGGCGGCTGCGATCACGATATTCAAAGACACATAGGGATAACATTCACATATCTATCCTAGTTAAAGGATGAAGTACGAATTCGAATATCCCAGTTAGCAGTGGACAGGACGTTAATTCATGACGGGGTGAGGGGCCGTTTGATTCAAAGCCTAAAGATTCAGGTTTGGGTGTCCGGTCTTTCCGGTCAGGGGCTGACGTATGGCCGGCTGGCTGACTGAGCAGGTCAGATTTTCCGGAAGTCTTCATTTCGGTTTCTTGTTCATTGTTGATAATACGTCTTGATTGTTTTTCGCCTGTTCTGTTTACTTTGTAAACAACAACTCGGTCTGGTTACTATGTGTTGTTGACATAGGTCTAGTTGTGGGACAAGCTTACTTGGATAAAGTATATACGTACCGTGGACAGTACTTGCCTCGAAAGCAACCGTAGACCGGAAAAGCGCGAGCGGCGAGGTCTGCTTCTTTTGTTCTACTACACCGCTGCAGTAAACCATTACTGCCTACTGTGATCTGCTACAACGACGTCAGATGAGAAGTCATCCAGTTAGTCAGTATTTGAATTGGCTTACGGTGGCCGGCGGAGTTGCAATTAACGTCTCATCTTGAAGACGACAAGACTGTGATCAATCCAGCCGTCCGCACCCCACATCCTCCTGGAAACTAGCATGTAACACTGGTCACGCTTCCCAAGGAAGAGGTAGTCGAGTATCCGCCAGCAACTAAAGCATGCCTTGGAGGGCGGGCGAAAATGCTAGTCAGGGTATGACTGTTCCGTACACTGTGCACCCCCTGAGTAAACATCTCCACATCCCTGGGGCTTGTGCGGAGGGGGTGGTAAGACACATGCCATCACTGGTCCGTCCCAGCTCAGGTGATAGGAACAGTCCACCGAGTTTCGGCACGCTGTCAGAATTCGTCGTGATAATATACCTTTCACGGTTGGGACAACGCTGATCCGGCTATGCACACTGAGCCAGTAAAAACTGAACTTCACATGGCCATACAGTTGTCATCATCCGAAACCAAGTACGCGGTCACTCAAATATAGGTTGGAGTAAGCCAGTGGCTTTAAACCAAAGTACAGTCGAGTTGTAAGTTCACCCAATTATCTGCGTGCATATTGCTTATTTACTCGCTTGTCATCTCCGTATATAAACGCATGTACATCTGCCAATTAGCTGTCAAAAGGATACACGTATAATACATTCGCTACACAAAATCAAGGCAAAACCAACCGATTTCTGCGATGCAAGCTTCCATTTTGTCGTAGCCAACCGTTGGACGAGGCCTTGACTGTGGATTCAGTTTGGTTTCCCAAAGCCCACGTTGTTAGGGCATGGATAGCGCCGGTCTATCCATATTTCCGGGCAACACTGATCCGACTTCCTTTTCCTTATTTTCAAGTTGGGCGAATGTATTCAGCCCTACCCAACAAATATACTTGCAGTGGAATGAAATGTCAGGGAACGAGGAAAGACCATACCGGAATGCTTTCCTTGGATATTAGGAGGCCGTTCACCAAAAGTCCAGTACTTCAGCGGCCCTTTACACACTTCGATGACGCACCAGCCCTAACTAAGATACACTTAATAAATTTATTATTATTTTATCAGAAATCATGGTCGACGCTACTGAGAGGACTCTGAAAATTCACTCAGAGCTAAAAAGCTAATAGTATTGTTGAGTCTGACAAGCCAAAATAGTTACTGCTCAGTTAAGTGCCGCAGGTAAGGGTTAACTTGTGGTACCATGTGACAGTTAATCAGAAAAATCACGCGTGGTAATATGGACAAGCCCAAACGAATGATCTCATCCTTTTTGATAAAAAGTATTACTGATGAACTATGCAGAATAAGTATGGGGGAAAGACTGCATCGGAAACCGAGGAGGTGCTGAAGTACTTTTCTGACATAAAACCGATCGGTCTAAACAGGAAACCGCTGCTGGGACATTCGCGAGGGAAGCAGACATTCAGCTGATTCTCCGGTCTTATCGATTGATTAGGTTCAATATTATTGAATGGACTTGGAATTGTTTTGGTCGCATGATCCCATGACTTCAACTGACTCTAATTTCTTCAAAAACTTATGAGTTGCTGCCTCAGGCAGTAGACTACAAACGTGTTGAGGCTATTCTGAAATAGTTAGTCCGCGTACCAAACCGGGTCAACGGCCGGTGGAGCAAGTAACTTCTTGTGCACTTGGCTCAACCCATCTAGAGCAACATTCCGTGGTGACTTGTGTTAGATTTCCGACACTGAACCAAGTGTAGAAGTTTTGATAGGACAGAAGTAATCACCAACCGTTTATGGAGGTCCTTGACAGGGCATAGAATTTAGTCGCTGGTATGCTTTCTGCAGTTAGTTGAAAACTGGACGACATTTACATTTTGGATCGCCAAATATTACTAACTAGTAAGTCCCGTAGGCACCATAACAGTGCAGTTTTTAATGATCTTAGGATCTCATAAACGGTTCTGAGGAATGTTATCTTCGTACTTTATCTCTGAAAAACCACGGAAGGCTGCCGGTTAAATACCCACTTGGGCGTCACTGTTGCAGTGGACCCAGTCGGGCGCTAAATCCGCCTGTGGTAAGCGAGTGACGGGTTTTATACCTCCTCAAGCACTGCGCTCACGTCCATCTTCAGTCGCCTTGATCAGGTGTTACCGCATACGAAAAGCGTGTGTGAGAGAGAGAGGGAGAGAGAGAATATAGAGCAAGGCCAACCCTGTGCGTTTTCTATTCAGTTAAATAAACCTGACACATGTTTCTGTTGTCACGGTGCACTCAGAGTTACAGTTTGGAGCGTAGCCGACTGAGAATATCGTTCGATCCCCGAGAATGAGCGTCAGGTTGAAATCAGTCCTTCTTGCAGCCCTCTCCGATGAGACAGTCGCGTGGGTGAGGTTCCGTTCGTGTTTGTTGGGTACCTGCGAGGCGTGCGTCAGCGAGGCTGCAGGCTCAGCTAACAATTACGCCCGCGCCCTAGCCTTGGCATTGAAATTGTTTGAGAGTTGAAAGTGGTAGCGGGAGAGAGAGAGGCTAGTGCTGCTAAGAATTTCCTCTTTACTGACTCAAAAGCTATCTTTGTGTCCGAGATAGTGGTCATTCGATGCGACACGGATTAAGATTAGAGTTCGCACACTGGAGTGGGTACCGCCCCGGAATTTGGTGTATAACCATCTGTCACACGGGAAGACACTTATTTCCGTGTCCTACCAGTTGCCATGGCCATGCCCTAGGCGTATGAAAGTTATAATTTTGATTTTGGATTGCAAAGTAATGCATACATCTGAGGTTTTATATACTGATATTCTTCCCTGTAATGTCTGATCCTGCATTCGTGGACACATTTGAGCTCCGGTTGCTGAATTCTCGAGAAAATATATGCCTACTAGAGAGTCATCGAAGGATTAATAAAAAAAAGTATAGTAGTACAATACCACTAACCCACTCGGACAGTTAAAAAATAGATCCACTTCAGTACGTGAGTCTATTTTGATTCGTCTCCGTAAAATGTGATATGCGTTTATCGGTTGGGACGTTGCGGATGTGTCTTCGGTGCTCCTCTGTTGCACGGCCCACTGATCCGCAATCACAGGTGAAAACTAAAAATTTCAGTTTTAAAATGATTAAGTAAAAACGAGCCGGGAGTTGGGTTGGGCGACGATAGGGTGAAGGACCCAAACTAGCTCCCGGTAGGCCGTGGATCGTGTGCTGATGTATGTGCTTGCGATATCTACTAAAGTACTGATGACTGGTAGTTGTACCCAAGAGAGGAGAAACAAAGAAACGGAGATAAACTGAGCATGAATTGATGGATAACAGAAATGTCTGCCAGGAGATAGGCCCCGTTGTTTGATGGTCAGACACTCTTTCAAGATGAATCGCCATGGGATATCCAGCTGGGTACCGTATCTGCATACGTTAATCATTTGACCCAAATGTGATTAAACTCGCGTCGTCCGGCGGGGCCTCGTAGCTCAGGTGGTTAGAGCGTTGGCTGCGCTAAAGCATTCCCCTTACTGCGTGGGTTCGAATCCCACCGAGGCGCCGAGTTTTTCACAATTGGGTCAATATGAAGATGAGTTAATCATTTTACTCTACAGCATAGTATTTGCCACCGGCCATCTTCTGTGTTTTCTTGCACTCAATCAGCTTACTGTCCGGCGTGCTGCCTCACCCGTAAAACCCCCCACTACCACCATTCCCGCATAACACGATCCACAGTATATCGACAGCTTTTGGGGGTCCTTCATCCTACCTTCGCCGTTGGTTGCACTGTCTACTGTTGAAATCCCACGAGTTCAAACTAAAAAAACTACATACACAAAGGCCAGAAACTTCTATACCCCTTTTCACATTGTTGCCTGGACCCGTTTATCCTGTTTAATAATGAAATTAAAAATCAAACCATTCGTATGCTGAAACTAAAACCTCCCGAATTTCACAGCTGCCGAACCAACAAATGAGCCCGAGTTACGTCGATATCGTCGTATCATCAGTGGTCAAAGTGCGAAGAATTCCGAGTACCCCTTTATCGTCTCCATCCAGGCGAAACTGCAAAACGGTCTTCATAATTTATTGTTTGGAGGATTAGAGCACTTCTGTGGTGGCACTCTGATAGCCTCCCGCTGGATTCTTACTGCTGCCCACTGTATGTACGCCTACACGGAGGAGGGCGAACTAATACGGTGAGTGCTGCTCTAATTCGTCCACTGATTTATGCTTACTTGCAGAAACAGACGGGCTTACTGCGCCTGCCTAGAATATCTGCATACCTCGTAGAAGGAATCAAGTACTCGTTAACCTTATCACTTAGAAAAATCTGCTATTAAATGACCCCGTTGATTCGAAGAAAAGTAGTTACCCGAGACCAGCTGCCGCCATTTGCGTGAATGCAAAATCATTCATTAACTCACTTTTTAAAGACAAGATCGTGAGGTCTTTAATAGGATTGTTCAGATACTTTCTGCGTTCAGCAGTCTAACCACAACGTAGTTGCCCTTTGGCTGAAGTTAAATTACTGTCGTAGACTTCCTTACGGAGGCCTTTCCGTTTTAAGGGACGTGTGCCAACTAAAAGACCTATGGAAAGTGTGGGCGGACTTTGAGTGTATTGGTTATGTGGACCTCGTTTAAAGTTTGAAGTTAACACGCCATAAACCTCCGGATGACCAAAAACTTTTAAAAAACTGTTGACAGCGAGGCCTGAGTCTTTGGATTTACTTGGGTGGTCGCCCTAACCTCTGGAAATAAGACCTAATGCTTGACGTCTCCGGGTTCATTTTACCAAGTCATTGGGCATGAAGAGATACCATCCCCGGAATCAGTCCGATTGTGCAGGTTCCGGTTTATAATTCTTCTGAGACCCATTGAAATTTAGACTGAGTTTTCGATGGAAGAGGAAACTTACTAGGCAGTCATAGAGAGAGAGAGCAAGCGAGACGCGGATGACTATTTATGGTGTATCTACACTTGCTACCCAGTTAAACCCACACTGCAGGTCCGGACTTTTGCCGCCGAAGGATTACCTTAAAAGCTCTCCTGTTTAATTGGTGGGGTCATAGCTCTTTCGTATAAAATCGAAGTATTGAGTCACAGGGCAGGGACATTTAACAGTGTTCCCTGGTTGCAGAATCGAGCACTGATGACTCTATTTCATCTTGGGGTTCAAGTCTAAAGCTATGGCAGGCTGTCGCAGGTGATGTTCAGTAATCAGAAAATTTGCCAAAAACAGGCGAGACTCAGACCCCAGGGTAAGACTGAGTCGTTTCATGAAATGTTGGCTGAAATTCTGAAATGAGTTTTCGATCAGGAAGGATTACTTAGGCGCGGTTGTGATACTGATTATCTTACGGAATAATCCTTAAATATTTCAGACTCGGCGGAATGTCAGCTTTTGAATACACTGCTTTTCAATCTCCTGTAGAAACCGTACTCGGTAAAAAATGACTACTTACGTAGCCTGCATTTTTCATATTTATTTTCGATGGTCTTGCAAATTCAAATATATCTTACAGAAACCACAAACAAAAATATGCTTTTTTCAGTCGCTTGATAGAGAATCACATGAGCTTTATATTTTATACTCGAAGAAGGAATATAATTAGGTTTTAAAATGTTTTCTAATCGCCGAATAATTTGGAGCCTGATCAGTCGTTGCATTAGCGCTTAGTGATTCCAGTCTAAAAGCGACTGAAAGAAGGCATAGTTTTGTTTATGGTTTCTGTAAGATATATTTGAATTTGCAAGACCATCGAAAATAAATATGAAAAATGCAGGCTACGTAAGTAGTCATTTTTTACCGAGTACGGTTTCTACAGGAGATTGAAAAGCAGTATATTCAAAAGCTGACATTCCGCCGATTCTGAAATACTTTAGGATTATTCCGTAAGATAATCAGTATCAGAACCGCGCCCAAGTAATCCTTCCTGATCGAAAACGCATTTCAGAATTTCAGCCAACATTTCATGAGATCGGTTACTCACTGTAAATGGGAGGCAATGAACAGCGTGGCAGAGAAAAGCCCGCGACAGTTTGATTGCTGAAGTCAGCACTATGTTGGCTCACCGTAACCGCGGTCTGCGCGAAGGTCTTCCGTACGCGAAGAACGGATTTATATAACCCGATGCTCATTGTCTCCACGTTATTAGCAGATGCTTTTGCAACAAATTCTGAGAGCTATCGGATACTCGTGAAACTTCCTTGGCACCCATCCGACAACCACTGTCTCCCAGGTGCTCTAGGATTGTTCTGAATAACGTCCTTTCTTGCCTGTCCCCAACTTACTTGCTTAACCTCTATGACGTTCAACAGTGAAACAGTGGGATAAGTATACTCGTTTCGAAATAATCTACAATGTAAACTTCTTTTTTCTGCTTCATAAAACCGAAGTAGTTGATAACAGTGTTTATGTCTTAGTAACTGTAGACGTCTGGAAAACTGCCCGAATCTCTCATTGGGTAACACTGGAGAAATTTAGCAGACGGAATCTGAAAATGAGATTCCCAGGTGGTATGTCAAAATGAGTGGCATTCACCGGGAGATGTTTATTTGAGGCCTGACGTTCCGAGAATTGGCTTCGCCCACCCATCTTCAGAGATTGGGGAGTCTTTTGCGTGGTTCTCATTCGTATGGCACACTTTGGATGCTGCAAAGGTGGTCAGTGCTGACCGTTGGGCTGAATCGGACCCCAGTTACACGGTGACGTCTAACCCCGGCCGCATTGATGGCGGTGATAATTGGCAACCCCGACTATCTCACGCCCTCACTGTCTCCTGTCAAGACGGTTCGCAAAATCAGATAGTTCACCGACTTCGGTGAAGCTGCAAGAAGTGCACTTACGTCGGAGAAACCGGCCGGCGGATGCAAACGCAAATCCAAGAGCATCAGTTGGCCGTGTGATGGTTGGACCCAAAGTTCCAGCTGTTAACCCATGCCACATAGATGGGACACATCTTTAATTTTTGCGTCCTTAAAATGTGAGACTAGATGATTGTACATCAGGGTAAGTGCAGGAGACCTAGATGCTCATCAACCATGCAACCAACCGCCACAGAAATTTGCCTCTCTCCTATCTGGTTTTACGAGTCTTTTTAACAGGAAACACTGAAGGTATGAAACAATCGGGGATCTCAGTTACCGCCACCGTCAAAGAAGGCAGGGACAATGCAAATCACGGTGAAACGGTGGTCCGATTCGAACCACCAGTTGGCATTGGTCATCTAAGTAGAATGCAAAATGTGCCATAGGATTAGATTTGTGCGTAGGACTTCCTGTTTTCTGGAGTTGGTCGGGCGAAATCGCTACTTAGGACGTCAGATTCTAAAGACTTCTCTCTCTCGGTGTTTTTGAAAATGACTTCGTCTTAGTAATCACTTTTGGGAGTCGACTTGCCTATTTCCTGCAGTTCAAACTGAATGTCGTCGGCTGAGCACAGTCTCCGATATCTATTAGAGAGACAATAGATCTAATTACGTTTTTGCTTAGTAGATGTGAAACTGTTTAAATTTATGTGGATATCACGGTCAACCCACCACGGTAGACGATTATTTGAGATATATGGTCAGACCTACTAATTAGAATATTCAAGAATAGAGAATCTCCTGCTTTCTTTAACTCAAATGCAAACGTGTCTACGGAGAAACTTGATATTTTGACTGGAGAAGGCTTACTTAACAACTACTTTTGGTGAAAAGTATGGAAATTCCAAACTCGTACAGGTACCAGCGATTTTCCTTCCGGCGTGGCGGTATAAGTGGTGTGATCTCTTCAGTCAGTATCGAGAACGGAAATTTATGATTGTCACTTATTCTCACTACGCACTATCGCGAGCTTCTAAAAAATTTAGAGGCTAGTAAAAATGATTCTCGATGTTGCGAACTATCACAAATAAAATTTACCCGGGCCAGAAACATACATCATGCGTCGACAACATGACTTACGGGCTTGTCTGTTCCTATGTAAGTCCACCGATGTCTTTAACGAAACGATTATGAAGTCTCAATATATTAATATATCTTGCTCGAAATTTCCTCTTTTCCCCTAAAAGCGCTCGTCAACAATAAAACGCTGTTAGAAAACTGGGTAAGTACTTGGAAACGGCCCGAGAAGCTTGTGGGGCCTTAGACATCAGATGCTTCGTTTGGTGTTTGATAGTTGGGTTGCATGGACCGCGTCGTTCAGGCGGGACTTGTGGGATAGAATTCTATCTGTAGCTTCTCAATTTCCCCAGAAAGTAATTGTTAACTTGGAGTTAACTGGTCTATTTGAGAATGAAATTTAATACGCATATGTGGGCCGAGGTCTGTCCGCTACAGCGGAATAACCACGTAATATTCATGAACTGACAATAATAACCAGTATACATTGGTAGCATGATGTGGCATATTTGACAGCACAGGTACTAATTCAAAGCCCAGGACTTTACCTTCATTATTTGTGAAATTAAAATTTCAGTGAACAAATTATCTAATGAAAAATTCGCATGGACGTCGTAATTTATCCTAGTGCAGTTAGGCAGGTTTTGGAGCACTCCTACAATACATATGTAAAACCATATTGCAAACAGCTATGCGAATAGGATAAGAATTACTCTTCTTTCACCGCTACATCCACAGACTCAGACCGCAGCCATAAGGAACACCATTCCGAATACTTTTACCCAGGTTGGTGACATTCGAAATGGAAATAAATGATTATTCTTATTTACCTCATGGTTAATCGACTTCATTCCAACTTCTAGCCTTTTGGATGTGAAACAATGGCACGTCAGAATGGCAACCGACAAATTACGAGTAAGTCCGGAAAGCCTGTGCTTTGAAGGAATACGACTAAACCTTTTCAGCACCTGAGAGACCATCCAAGCCGATTATTTAAATACTGTACTTTGTTACTCTCACGCCACTGTGGTTAAATCGATATAACGGTTAAATTGGTATGAAAAGCGCCGACGTAGGACACATTCAAAATATCTGCAGGAAACATAAAAGCACAGTCAGCTCTCCATTGCATACGACAGGTAGTGAGTGCTGAATATTGCGACGTCTTACTACATCCTTTTTAACACTTAACTTTAGAATGTTCAAGAAAATAAGTAAAAATAAGGATTTTATTAAGGTTGCGTCCTTGGCCAACTGTAACCTTTACGATTTGCATAAATAAAGCTAGAGCTAATAAAATGAACTTGGATTCCGAAAGTGCATCACGGAACATTCCTTCCTCATCTTATTTTATTTCCGTTTGATCCGATTTTACTCGTATCTAATCTGAAATCCCACAAGCTACTATGAGAGACCGGTCAGCTCTTGTTTTCTTATTTTCTTCCTAATATTTTTATTCCGGTTTTCTTCATGAAACCAATATGCACAATATAAAATTTGTTTGTTGAATTTCTTAGATTAATCCCGCGGAATAAAAAACAAATGCCTGACTGGGAGGGGCTTCTTCTTTAGTACAGAGGTTTAAGACAAATTTTGGCTCTCGGAGACCAGACTCAACCCACATTTGGCTAGGTAGTGGCTATGTAATATTCTAACCGGGGCTTTCGCTACTGCGAATGCAAACATCCGCACCGTGTACTGACACCGTTGAGACACCCTGACACTCGCGAAAAATCTTAAACATATGCGAAAGTGTTTAAACTCATGATTGAAAATCTAAGAAAACCAAAATTAATTGCCCCCTCTTAAGAATAAAAAGTTATTAAAATTCCCACTTGGTTGCGTAGGCATAATAATTTTTGAGGAAAACAAAAATTCTGAGGATCCTGGATAGCTAGGTCAATGCATTGAACTGTAACTAAAACATTTCAGGATGGAGTAATATACGAATTGGAGCCATTCATGGCGAATACAAATGGAGACTAAAAACAGAACACTTTTTTGCCCTCCAGTTTTGTGCGCTGAAGTTCAGGCAAATAAGTGGAATACCAGCAGGAAACCCTCGTACAGTAAAAAAACACGCCTCCAAATATATGTGGTCTTGCATTCAAGGAATTTCCCATCCTATATCATGTAGATAGTTGAAGAAGAAGAAGAGTCGAGCACCGGAACACTTCGTTTATTATCCTGAGCTTTCAGACTCGTACAGGAGTCCATCGTCAGAGGAGTCAGACTACATCTGACGATGGACTCCTGTACGAGTCTGAAAGCTCAGGATAATAAACGAAGTGTTCCGGTGCTCGACTCTTCTTCTTCTTCTTCAAATATGCATACACCTGGAACTCGAAATTTCGCCTTCATGTAGATAGTCTCTTGTAAGGACAAATACTTTTCAGTTTAGCCAAATTTTGGGTCAATGGTAGGAATGTAATTTATGGTAAGGCCACATATTTAGAAAATAAATCACTTTGCATTGGTCAACACCGATTTAGCTCTCCTGCCACCTAGTGGATTTAGTTCGTTCCTTCATTAATTGTTTCTGTTGCAGTGGAAGTGGGGACTATCAATGGTCACACTACACTGTCTGAACATTTGGCAATTGCTTCCAACCTAATTACCACGGTTTTCATGGGCAAATTAAGCATATATAATATACTTATTTGTTATCTTATTACACGTCTGTGCTTTATCTCCCCTGTCATGCCAAACTAGCCCTCCATCATGGACAGATTGAAGGGCCTTCTCCATCGGGCATACAACAGTATATTTGGATATAGAAAGCCACAAACATTCTATCACATAAAGAAGATTGTCATCCATCCTGACTACGTAGAAGGTCAGTAGCTCGACATGTTATTTTGAACAATAAAGTCCCTGCTTTACAGTTTTATTAAGCTAACGGTGTTTCGAATTCTATGGAAATGTCTAAACCTATTTCACCAAGGCAAATTTCACTCACTAACGATGCTTGGTTTATTTGTTTATATGTGTATAGCCTCTGTGGAAATCTTGCTTTCTGGTCAGTCTCTTTCATTAGAACCAATTTTCATTCAAAAACAGGTTTTCTGGAGAATGACATTGCACTGATGAAATTAAAGGAACCCTTACTGGTACATCGAATGCCTATGCTGGATGTACTTCCTATGCCGAACGCAACCGAGAATTACGTGAACTGGCCAGCTGTTGGACAGGTGAGTCGTTAGAAGTGACAGTCACTTCCGTGACTAATGAAACTCTTCGGCAGTTAAACATTTTTCAAACCATTTGTAGCCTCAGTAGTTTAAGTCAGCTGATTCCTCTCATCAATCGTACCCTTCTTACGCCTCCGCTTCTAGTGCATGAACTGTCAGGTTCTTTCAGGCATTTCATCCGAACACGAGATTTTATGAAGACTGAAAATTCAGAGGTCAGTGTTTCATTTTGAAGAACACTCGTGAGATATTCTCGTAGTGTTTACCACATGAGAACTGCGAGATGCTTGCAAAATACAAAAAGGCACGCAGTTCACAGTATGTGCCCCCACCGTGACCTAGGTTTACCTTGGCTTACGAGCTGTTGAGAGCGCAGCACTGACGAAGTCGTTAATTTTTTCAGGGGGTAGTGCTGGTCTTGAGAGAGTTCTACCTGTCATTTTTAGTAAGTGTTCGTGCCATAGATTTGTGTCCGCGATCAAATCGCCATGGTGTTTCTGTTTTTCGACAATTATGGTGCTACTTCATCGGTTTGTAGGCGTTTTCATGATGTCTGGAAAATGAAAAATAGAATTTAAATTAAAATAGACTAATCTACCCCATAGTTCAATCCCTTTACAGAAGTTAGTTCGGAGGCGATTGAATATGCAATCCATGGCTTTTATTACTACAACATACCTGCCTATTTGATTTAGGCAGGCGTGTTACACTAGGATGTATTCGCGGCAGATGTTTAGGGTAAGGATCAAGAGTTCGGGTTGACATTCAGGGTTAGGTTTGGGTTTGGGGCTAGATTCGGGATTGGATTCAATGTGAGGGTTGGGGCTAAAGTTTGCCTGTCACACACCCCCTAAACAAATCTGGTCTTCTCTAACCAGTAGCCCCGAGCTGCATGTTGTCTGCCGTTTAAACGCTCCCATTTGCATCTTCCAAAATGCACAGTCTGTCCCAAGACCTCCTCGGAGTAATAAAACAAAACATATGACAGAAATGCAAGTCCCCTCAAAGCTTTCTGCAGATCCCCTTAACAGGGGCGTCCGTCTATCTGCGACGGTCTCTGATGATGGGTTCGAGCAAGAATCAGAAACGTCAGGCCAATAAACTTTTTGTTTCAGTGATCACACCTTCCAAAACTAATTTTAACGTTCCTCCTGTATTACAAGACTCCCTGGGCTCTATGTTCTCAATGGGTTTACGTATTCAATCATTGCCGACAATTCTTCTAAAATTTGAGCATCATGTATAGAAAATAATTGGGACGCACCATAAAAGAAGCTTAATAGTCACTATGAGCTCGAAAATACGAATGTATTCAGTCGACAGGCATGCTATCGTTAACATGTGAGCCGTTTCCTAAAAATGAGAGTAATAAGGACTGCCTCTCTCCTTTAACCCACATACAGATAGGCAAACTCTACATACTGCTCACTTTCATATTTCCTCCGTGACTGAGCAACTGACTGTTATGCCAGCCATTCAAATCAATATGCTCGGCTTGTATCAGTTCTCTTCGACTCTTCTCCTGATCGTGCTAACTTAAAATCTGTTATGCCTACATTTCTGACGCTAACAAGAAGGACAGGTTCTCCAAAATATTACTCATTTCACTCTTTACCTCCGAGCTACTCAACTTTCTGCCCCGAGAGTAGTTTGTACTTCATAACTTTCAATCAAATTGCTGTGTGCGGAACTTTTTTTAGAATTGCACCGCCTTAGGCTGGGGATGTGCCTGTGCAACCTGTCCACCAGAGATGTATATGCAAGTACTTCAAATCCCCATTATTGCACCCCAAGTGTGCAGGAAAATGTACAAGGCGCCGATCAATCTCACGGAGGCCAAGGAGTTCTGCGCTGGCTTCTTCAAAGCCAACACCGGAATTTGTCCCGTAAGCCAGTTTTTGAGATGTCTGCTTGCACTGCTGACAGAAACGCGACTGGATAAATTAAAGACCCTGAGGCACATTTAGAAAGCTTCGTTAACAAACTTCAATGCGCTTCGAGCTAAATAAGATATGTCAGTTTGCGAGTGAAAGGTCCGGATAAGGAGGTACTGGAGCGGTTAGTGATGATCTGTTTGGCTTTAAGTACTGCGGTTAAGAGAAATCGCGACAAAAACTCGTGAAGTGTCCTGCATTAAAAACCAAATGAAGCTTAGATGGCAATGCCCTTGGTTTCACCGCGGTGAGATCTTAAGTCCGCAAACTTACCACTAATTAAGCTGCGCGCATTTGTTTTTTTAGTTTCAGTTTTTCGTTTGAAGATGCTAGGAAAAACTTTTGAAAACCCCGTTGTTTGCATATAGGTGTTTTATACACATGCGTACTCCGAAATATTTTCATAATTAAAATAATGTTAGGGGGCGCTCACCGATCGTTCATACGGAACTCACTCGTTCCGTTGTGCCTTAAGGGCTCTCTCTCGAGCCCGGTGAGTAGAGGCGTTGACTTCTAAACCAATAGGTCGCGAGGTCGAGGCTCGGGTGTTCCACACTTCGGGCTTGAGTATGGCTGGCTGACGACGGCCAATAAGCCAGAAATGGCCATTCCAGTCTGCCTTCTCTTTGTCGGTAATATCATTCTGCCTATATATCATGCGCCGCTGCGCGGCAGCTGGTTGGGCTCGAGAGAGAGCCCTTAAGGCACAACGGAACGAGTGAGTTCCGTATGAACGATCGGTGAGCGCCCCCTAACATTGTATATTCCCGATCGAAAACCGACAGGGCAACGGGCTCGTGGCCCGGTGAGTAGAGGCGTTGACTTCTAAACTAACAGGTCGCGAGTTCGAGGCTCGGGTGTTCCACACTTCGGGCTTGGGTATGGCTGGCTGACGACGGCTAATAAGCCAGAAATGGCCATTCCAGTCTCCCTTGTCTTTGTCGGTAATATCATTCTGCCCATAATTAAAATAGTATTCACATAATTAAAGTAGCATTTTTAAAAACATCTGCCTGGGGGAACGTTGTATTTATTTCGGTTTTCAGTGTTGGAAGAAAACGTGGGACAAAGGTACTCATTCAAGTGTCACTTGGGGGGTTATAGTGACCTTGTCTGTGCAAATGGTTGGGGGAGATCATTCCACCGTTCTATTACCTATTACGTGACGAATTCAGAGCGAAGATTCGACCTTCATCGAGTGTCCATGAAGATGAGGGGAATCGCGTCGATGATTCATGGACATAAAACGTAGTCCATGTTCAAAGCCATGTATTATGTCGTAAACTGAGATACGAGCACCTCTTGTTACCTGTAGCACAGAGGGAAAAGACCTAAGCACTCCAGTCTTTCTGGATAAGATCGGTATTTTAGACTTCTCACTAGCTTTCCGGCACGTTGTATCTTCTTGATACATATTTATCCTTCGCGAGCCATGGCTACCACGCAAAATATTCCAAATGACAGGTTCGAGAAGTTTTATGCTTCTTTCTATCTTAGGGTGACAGTGGTGGTCCACTGGTTTGTGAACACAGTGGTCAAAAACTCCTGGCCGGCATAGTTTCCGCTACTCATGCAAAAAAACCCGAAAGTTACCCGGCTGTATTCACTCGGGTGAGCTACTTTGTCGACTGGGTGAGGTCTGTCATTCAAGAAGATGGTGACTAGGCAATGCATACTTTTTTCCTCCTATCTTCCGGATGTCACACATTCCTTAAGACCCTGACATTTATCGAAGCATATTCGGCTAGTGTGTATTGCTTTGTTCATACATCTCTTGGCATTTCATTTGTTTCCGAAATTTAAACTGCCCGTTCTCGAAGCTCATATCGGCACAATCTTATTCCTGCGTAAGCTGGCCACACTTGTCTTTTCCTCAATAAAATATTTGTAACGAAAACTGATTAATTACTGTCTCGTTGTGGGCATTTGCAAATTTAAAAAATGACAACGTACACGTTCAATTGGAAGGATGTGGTACTTTTGCATTCCATAGTATACTACAGAAGTTCGAACCTTTACAGGGCGTCTGAACTATGCTAGTTGCCTCTCAGACAATGAAGCAGGATAGATAAAGTTGTTTCTGCAAGTCATAACAAACCAAAGTTCTGGTACAGTTGTTAGTGTGTTCAAGATGAGGGTCATCATTAAGTGTTCATTACACGCCGTACTCGACAATGATAATGTTCGGAAGACTGGGCTTTCGCATTGGGTCATAAGCTGAATGGCCCGACTGACACAACCAGGGTGGATGTGATTTTCATCAAGTCTTCCCGTAGTTGCAACTGTGTGTGTTGGAATACGTGGTAGATCGGATTATTGACGATCTTCCCATCCTTAAATAAGAACTAGCGGTGAGCAAAATCTAGCTGCCCGCTAGGCTAGTAGTCCGATGTAAGTGGTGGTTGAAGGCATCATGTGCAGATTGAGTTTTTTCCCCTGTAGCTAGTGCCCCAACAACTGTTCTCGATATCGTATCCACCGTGTCACAGGGCAAAAATAGACGTGTGTCTTGCTTGTTTCGGAGTAGAAAACAGTGGACTAACGTTGTGCGATTCTTGATTCTGAGTGCTTTTTAGCAGTGATGACGGAATTTGCTTGAGACGCAGGGTTGTTTGTACGGCGTAGAACAAGACAGCTACTTAGGCCTACTCGGGTATGAAAGACGCGCCCACATAAAGGGCTGTGGGCAGAGGTCAGTAAGCATCAAGTCGCGACGACTGGCATTGTCTGAGGACCTCGAGAAGAGTAGGGAGTTGAAGCTTAATCAGTTAAGGTAAACTGTTGAAGAGCAATCCCAACAAATAAATTCATGTTCAATAAATAATATTTACCTGCAAACGTTCGGTATGTTGAAAGCAGGTAGGCTTGTGGATATACGAGTAGATTAATCAGAAAAGGAACAAATATTTTGTCGCTCAATAAAGCTTTATCAAAATTACGTCAAAGAAGTACGCGGTTTCCTGGGAAACACGGCCAGTACTGAAATTAGGAACCAGACAGAGAGTTAGTATTTTATCAAATTTGAAGAGTTATTTAAAAGCCGCTACGCCAGCTTTCTATTCACCTCATAAAATGTCTTCAGTGTGTTTTTAGGAAAATGATAATTTACCATTGGAAAATCCAGGAACCAGTTTCGACTATTCTTAGTCCATTTAATTGAAGAAGTCTAGTGAGCGAAGACAGCAGGCGAGTATTGTTGCGAAAGGTATAAGTTAGTTCCATTCAACAATTAACAAGGATACATAGTGCGTAGGTCCCAATAAACCCATGACTAACATTAGTTCGAGTATATTCTGAAGAGCATTGAACGAGTCTCTCCGAAGACAATAAGACTTTTGCCACCTCTATGCCAAAGAAAGGATTTGGGTTTGAGAGATGCTCTATTTACTTATCTTGATCGGGTCGTTGTAGAAGGCACTCTCTATTGCCCATTAACACCTAACTTTAATTATCTTTTGTCGTGCTTTAGATAAAGAGTACATTTTGCTTCTGAAAATCGAGCCTCCGCTTGATGCTGATTACACAAGACTTCGGTCGCCTTCAACAAGATCCACTCATATGTACTTTCTCCCATACACACTAATCCTAGTCGCTGTGAAGTGCTTGCATAGAATTGGATATTATACGGTTAACGAGATCATCAGCTCGTAAATCGGGTCCACACATTTGGGAGGAAAACATTATGTTGTACTTCTTAATAGATCCTGACCGAGCGAGAGAAATCTCAGAATCCCACATGGAGAAATTAAACATTCCCAGAAATTATTTCTCCGGAAAAAGCCCATTACATTAAGTGTGTTGGACAGCAGACCATACAGATGTAGTACTTAATGCTGAAGAGACATTCGGCGCAATTAACGATAAACACATCGACGTACAGCTTGATCGAACAACAGTAGACTCGAACTCAAACAAATTTGAGCAAAATTCATTCCTTTGTACAAATGCGCAGAATTTGGTCCAGAAAATACATGAACTAAAAGTTTGGGTACCAGATATGCTTCCAGGTGTAATTTGCATTAAAGAATCTCGGTCGCAGGCTGAAATATTAGATGCTTACATTGCCATCAAAGGCTTCCAAAGGTTGGAGGACTGGAAGTCTACGTCAACAGAGTAATCATCGTATCTCAACACAGGCGTGTTTGTTCGCGTGACTGTCTGTCGGTCTGGTTAAAACTCATGAGGTAAGGAGCACCAAATCTGAATTTCCTGACCGTACACAGACCGCCCAATTAATCTCGAGAGGTTGATGACGCCATGTTTGGGCTAATTGCGGGTAGCTTAAGGATCAGCACCAATCCTGGATGAGAAGGCCATCTTAGAAGACTTAGTCATACTACCCCAACAAGTGCCAAGTCGTTGCGGATAGGAACAAGGATGTATGTCATTTCTGAAACCATATTGCTTTCTGTCAGAAAAAATCCGGTGCTAAAAGGAATACAGTAGAAAGAAAAAAGCAATGCAAACTAATCCACCGTGAAAATTTATGATTGCCCCTGTCTCTTTCACCTCGCTGCAGTAAGGATCGTCGAACTTGCGCCCTTTTCGGGAAAGTTCCTTGGCCAGCATGGCGTAGGCTTTCATTAAATAAGATTCAAAGAAGATATCATTGACACAGGGGTTGGTTTTCAAAGACCTGGTCACAGAGATCCTGGAAGTGTTTGTTGCATCCTCTGTTACCACGTCAAAGCGAGCGAGAACTCGAGCCAATGTATAAGTAATTCTTACGTTCATTGCGATCGTAGACTACAAAAAAGCATTCAGTAGTCGTAATGCGCAAATGACTGCAGACCAACTCTTCGTTACAAAATATTTGCGGGTTTGTGAGGTGTTCGCATCGCTTATCAAGCAACTCAGATCTCCTGATGCCGGAAATCTAACTGCTGAAGTGGAAAGTTTTTAAAAGAACTAGATGCTCGACCGTTGGTTACCTTAATGCTCATCGTGTGCTCCAAAGCAGGGTTGGGGCAGGGATGGCGACCTTCGAGAGAATAAGTTTATAATCATAATCGACCTGCGCAGCATCTTCTGCAATTGGTCCTCCCATACATGGGCCTGACGTTAAGACAGATTTAGAAAAAGCGTGGGTGGTGAAGGGCGCAGGTGGCTGGCCCACCGGAATCCGACTTTGTGAGCCCTCACCGGGCTTGGGTCTCACAGCGTAGGAGTGCCATAAATGCCACATTAAGAGGGAGCGATTGCCGTTTGACTCTCCTTCAACCAGTCTGCCACTGCACGCACACTGGGCTGACTGCGTTGTTCGTGTTATTCAACTAGTTAGCAACCTTCCAAGCTGCAGCTTTAAACACGCCGTACTAGGTTCAAGTGCGTCAGGTTGTCAATAGTGAGGAAAGTGTATTTTGGTGCTCCTGGTACTAGCTTGCTAATCTCCGTGCTATGGATTAGCAGGAGACCAACCAGGGCGTTGTGGGGGTGTACGTGTGTGGTGGCATGGAGTGCAAGGTAAGTTCTGAACTGCAGAATAGGTTGGGGATGGGGAGGCTACAAGTCGTGGTCGTGGTTGTTAATACCGAGTTGTTAGTACTGGATATTGCAGTATTAACGCTTAATCGATGTGCGCTCGAAGTGTTGATATTGCGATCAGCTCCGCTTTGTGTATGTGCATGTGACCGAGTAGGCCTCTGTGGTAAGTTAAAGTGCGTTTCCAGTGCTGGAAGTGGAGGCAGGTGCACCGAGCATATGTCGGGGCTCCGGGCACTGATGCGCCGGTTGCTGTGCGACTGGTTCGCAAGTGACCGACTACGCCAATGCGTGAGGTGAATGTGCGGTCACAATATGGATAGGCTGGGATCAAATTCGTATTGTTGGTGATGGAGGCGTTGAGAGCGAAGGTAGTAGGTAACGGGACGTCGATCGTCGCCACATGGTTTGCGACAGTGTGAGAAGCGGTTGAATTGGTGGAGCTGGCCGCCGTGCTCGGCACAGGGGACGGGGGTGCAGATTATGCTGCCTGGATTTTCTAGACAAAGGTCGTGTAACCCTTTTCAGACCACCGTAGTTATGATTGGCCACCCTGCAGTCTGTGAAATTCTCCCTGTCATATACCTAACCGTTTCTACAAGGCTCCCTACTTGTGCGGTCTCCCGTTCTCAGGACACAACGTGTGTACAAATAACCTTCCGTTTTACGTACATAACAGGGGACATCAGCAGCGTACTCACCGGTGCTGGGAGGTGGTCCTCGTAGTGAGACTTGAGACAGGAGGGACAGTATGGATGTTTGCGTGAAAAGAATTTGGTGTTGTCAGGTTGTTGTAATATGGCGTCCGCAGGTGCTCAAGGAGGCTGATCAGCGCGAAATTGGCTTTGGCAGCGTGGGTCTTCTGAAAGACCTTGGCTGCTGACCTCGTAGGTCCGAGGTGCTTGTGACTTGATAGCAACGCTTTAGAGTTTGGCAGCGACGAATCCGTTTGTTTGATTGATTGCTGCGCCAGCCTTCACTGTTTTACTCCAGGCCCGTCCGCTCTGTACGAGGTCCGCCCTGGTCTCCGAGTTGATCTGAAGTTGTTTCAGTAAGTTTTTTAGGCCGTCGTCTTAGTGTCCTTTTGTCCTCTCTGCCGGTGAGCGCCTGCGATGATATCTCCATATAAGAGTCATTTGGGTAATCGTACGTCGTCCCTCCTTGCCAGATGGCCGATCCATTGCAGTTGACAATGTCTCAGCATGACATGGATGCTGGGATTTCCTGTCCGTTGTAGGACTTCCATATCCGGGAATTTGTCTTGACATTTTCAAAGGCACTGCCTATTGCCCTTAAAATATAGCGACTGACCTATTCTACGGAAGCAGCTAAGGTGATAATGATTCAGGTTTCCAATATGGCTAAAGTCGATGGTCCATGTTTCCAATCCGTAAGGAGTGCCGTTAAAATGGCGAACATGGGCCGGCTGTGTTATGGAAATCACTCGCTCCGTTCCGTAATACTATCAGTGAACGACACCATTTACCATAGTATATTCACGATAGCAGCCGACAGGGCAACGAGCCTTTTGCCCACTGGTTAGAGACGTTTGACTTCTAAGCAACAGGTCGCGGATCGATCTCCAGCTTTTCTACAACTTATGGTTGGGTATGACTGGCTAACGACGTCGGAAGAGCCAGAAATGGCCATTCAAGTCTCCCCCTCTTTGTCGGTAATGCTCTTCTACCATAGAATGTGATAAAGAGCCCACACCCTCTCCCTTGAATATGAGTTCGTCCGGATAAAGATAAAGAAGAGCAATGCACAAAATCTAGAATTTCTGGCGATTTAGAGACACCAAACCTTCTGAGTGCAGGTGATGAGTCGCTCCTTGGTTTAGTCAAAGACGTAGCTAGCCACCAAGAGGTACTTATTGCTGGGGATTTCAACGCACCTGCAATAGAGTGGGAAACTATGGCAGTTAACGGTGGACCAGCCTCTTTCAGCAAAAAGCTACTGGACCTCACACTGGACCTCCCTCTGGCGCAACATGTGAAGGTACCAACAGGATTTCGAGAGAACCAGAGATCAAATTGTCTAGACCTAGTTTTCACTAAAGACTTCTACAATATCGACGAAGTGTATTCCAATGCACCTCTCGGGAAAAGTGACCATACTACGCTACCATGGGATTACTCGCTCTTCTCTAAACGCCAGATGAGTACAGAGGGCCAACCTAATATATGGAAGGCAGATTTTAATACGATGAGGAACGAATTGTTGTCCGTGAATTGGGACCAATTACTCAGGGGAGATCCGGAGGACGACTGGAGATCTTTTAAGACGATTTCACTCGATCTGATTAGGCGCTGTTGTCCACCTAAAGTACAAAAAACAACTAGTCGACCCGCTTGGTTAACTAGGGACCTAAATAGGCAGCTACGGAAGAAAAGCAAAAGACGGAAAATATTCAGGGAAACTGCGTCACCAGCGCATTTCGAAGAATTTCGTCGTCAATGAAATGCCGTCAAAAAATGTATCCGTCAGGCACGGAAGGAGTATGAATCCAAAATTATCCGACAGGCTGAACAGAAACCTAAGATTTTTTTCACTATCTTAACAGTAGACTGAAAAATAAGGACCCGGTCGCGGTGCTGAAGGATAATAATGGTGTAGAGATCACTGAGAACAGCGAGAAAGCCGAACACTTAGGACAGCATTTTGCTTCGGTTTTTACTAGAGAAACAGAGTTTCGCCGTCCCAGTGCTAGCAATGCTGTTGAGGCTGCTGGACCCGTGCTTGGCTCCATACTGTTCCCGACAGCTGTCGTGGAATGAGGAATGAAAAATCTCAAGGAAGCAAAGTCCTCGGGTCCGGACAATATACCGGCCAAATTCTTAAAAGAACTGGCGAATGAACTCTCCAAACCACTGGCGCACATCTTCCGTTCGTCATTCGAATAAGGGAGGCTGTCATCGGAATGGAAGACAGCAAATATCTTTCCGAAATATAAGGGCGAGGCTCGCACTAATGCTAACAATTACCGGCCTGTTAGTCTAACCTGCATCTGCTGTAAAATAATGAAGGCCATAGTTAAGAAAGCAACTATGGAGTTCCTGGAGCAGGGCCATTTAATCTCAGACCTGCAGCACGGCTTTAGACAGAACCGCTCGTGCCGTTCCAGTTTATGCTCTCGACGGAACAATGGACTCGCGCATTGGACGAGGATGGTAGGGTAGATGTCATTTACACAGACTTTAAGAATGCGTTCGACAACGCCCCACACAAACGCCTTATCTACAAACTTACTGAAATTGGGATAAGAGGAAGGCCGCTGATATGGATAACAGATTTTCTTACCGGAAGATCGCAAACCGTGTGCATTGAGTCCTCAAGGTCAACTCCTACCCCCGTTCTAAGTGGTGTACCCCAGGGCTCCGTCTTAGGGCCGTTGTTATTCCTGGTTTACAGTAACGACTGCGTCGATGACCTGGGATGCAGCGCCATCATGTTTGCTGACGATGTTAAGCTGTGGAGACCTATCAGATCTGACGCAGACAGGTACTTGCTTCAAGACAGTCTCAACCGCCTAAACAGTTGGTCAGCTCGCTGGCTCCTTAATTTTAATGTGGACAAATGTGTGGTCCTGAGACTCCGCACCAAAAAGACCAGTAAGGAGGACGATTCCTTTCAATACGTCCTTGGTGGTCAGCCCTTTTCAAATGTTGTGGAACGGAAAGACCTGGGCGTCCTAATGACCTCCTCGCTGAAACCATCTTCACAGTGTCAAAGGGCAGCCAAAAGTGCGATAAGGGTGTTATTTGCGCTGAGGCGAGGATTTGTGCAGATCGACAAGGAGCTGTTCGGAAAAACCTATGGGGCATTCGTCCGGTCTCACTTAGAGTACGCAATCCAGGCCTGGCGACCGTGGTTGAAGAAGGATTATCAGCGACTGGAAAGAGTACAGGCGATGGCTACAAATATGGTCAAGAATCTTCATCATTTGCCTTACGAAACCAGGCTGACCGAATTAAATCTGTTTCCTCTAAGTTACAGGCAACTGCGCGGCGATCTCATTTAAACCTTCAGGATTGTCAGAGATCGCGAGTGTGCCCTAGACTTTAATCAATTCTTTGAATTGGCCGGGACTGACCGTCTGCGTGGTCATCCCTTCAAACTGCAGAGGAAGCGGGCTCATTCGGACGTCCGACGGAACGCCTTCTCTCACAGGGTCATCGGGGCATGGAATGGACTCCCTGATGCCGTCGTTCTTTCCGAAAGTGTCGAATCCTTTAACTGCAGACTAGATGCTCATTTTTTGAGAACCTTCTGTACATATAATAATGATTGTTTTAGCGGCGGCAGTTTGCGCCTGGCTCACACTTGCCGCTAACTTTGAAACTTTTCGCATTTGCTGATGTAATTGATGACTTAATTTCTGTTTATCGATATGAATAGGGAGCTCAAAGGCGAAAGCCTCATTCCCTTTATTACCTGACTTAAACTGGCTATCTATGACTCCTGTTATACATTTGTCGGCCGGCGATATTTTGTTTCATACGAGCATTTAAGTCAGTATACGTCAGTTTATTAAGGGAATGAGGCTTTCGCCCTTGAGCACCCTATTCATGTCGATAAACAGAAATAAAGTCATCAATTACATCATCAAATGCGAAAAGTTAAGAAGTTAGCGGTAAGTGTGAGCCAGGCGCAAACTGCCGCCGCTAAAACAATCATTATTGTATGTACAGTAGGTTCTCAACAAGTGAGCGTCTAGTCTGCACTTAAAGGATTTAACACTTTCGGAATGAAAGACGGCATCAGGGAGTCCATTCCATGCCGCGATGACCCTGTGTGAGAAGGCGTTCCGTCGGACGTCCGAATTAGCCCGCTTCCTTTGCAGTTTGAACGGATGACCACGCAGACGGTCAGTCCGGGCCATTTCAAAGAATTCATCAAAATCTAGGGCACACTCTCGGCTTCTGACAATCCTGTAGGTTTGAATGAGATCGCCGCGCAGTTGCCTGTAATTTAGAGGAAACAGATTTAGTTCAGTCAGCCTGGTTTCGTAAGGCAAATGATGAAGATTCTTGACCATCTTCGTAGCCATCGCCTGTACTCTTTCCAGTCTTTGATAATCTTTCTTTAACCACGGTCGCCAGGCCTGGACTGCATACTCTAAGTGAGACCGGACGAATGCCCCATAGGTTTTTCCGAACAGCTCCTTGTCGATCTGCACAAATCCTCGCCTCAGCGCAAATAACACCCTTATCGCACTTTTGGCTGCCCTTTGACACTGTGAAGATGGTTTCAGCGAGGAGGTCATTAGGACTCCCATGTCCTTCTGTTCCACAACATTTGTTAAACGAGATATTTTGTTCCCACATCTCTTTTACTTCTACCCGAGATCGAATAGTCGAGGTTACCGAACTGCAAATATACAGAAAATACTATGAAACGGGGCATCGCATTGTACAAAACCAAAATCTGAACATCTCTCCTGACGCACTTCACATTAGACTGAACTATCCACGAGCAGTTGAAAAGCACGTAATTTATCAATCAATCTCGGGACTCATATCCGAGGCAGTCCTGCAATCGTCGAGGTTGCTGGCCTTCCGACAAACAAAACCGAAATTTTGGAGTCGATAATTGTTTGAAATCTCTGCCGTTACCGAACTTGGTATGTTTCGCACATCGTATTTCGAATCAGGTTCGGTCATTGAAAATCAGTGGATGATGTTCAACCAATTCCATCAAGGTACACACTTATGGAGGGCCTTATCAAAGATGATGTTAAACGCCAATATAACCTTCCCCACAGGAGCATGTAAAGGAGTAGGTGCACATTGATGTGTTCTGAGGTGGCGACTTATCCTTACCTTCGCCGCGCAAAAAAAGGATAAGTAGAAAATAGTATTTGAACGCTTTCTGCTGGGGAGGTTAATTAGCCAGCTTGACCAAGGCGTCTTCTTTAATGTTCACTCGCAGCGTCCCCTGGAAAAAAGCAGGCAGTTAAAATGGTTGCAAGAGCTGGCACCTATTAAAGAGAAAAAGAGAAAACTTCCCGGCACGGCTAGGAGAAGGCCAAACAGGAACATAAACAGCGCCATTCTCGAGCATGTTGTTGATTCCGGACATCGTTTGGACTGCAGCGAATCTTTTCCATCGATTTATAGGGATAGCAGCAGCAAAAGCGGCTGCCATAGTGTTACGAAAGCCAGTCTTGCGCGTGGAGAAGAACCAATTTCAGGCTCTACAGCGACTGTGGTGGAAGGTCGGTTAGTGTTGCAACTCTCCGCGCCCTTCCGTTCTCACCCCGTTCTTGGCATTGACTGCTGTTTTTCTCAGCTCTAACCCCACATTGCCACACCCGCCTGTGTTTTAAGATGAACTTTAACCGATTTCTCCTATCACTGCCACGTTTTTGCTCCTACCGCGCTCCCAAGTAAACTTACTGGCCTGATGAGAGTTTATCGAAAGCAGACGTGTGCTCGCCAACTTTTCTTCTGAGTACTACCGTAGAAATATTCGCAACTGTAAATTTATCGATTCTTCTTTTAAAGTCTCTAAATTATCTGTCAAGACAACCAAATTGTCAGTTTTTCCACACTTCAACCATCATGTGGGAGCAGAGTTTGAACTGCACTTCATGTTTGGGATTGTCCGTCTTCATCTCCACTAACTACAGGAATAAGTTAAGTCTTGCCAATCTCGTATAGTAAAATCTTATTGTTAAGAGCCTATGTATGATCACACTACCCTTGGTACACTTGTTATAGTGCAAATTTTGACAGGGAATACAATATACTGTCATATCTCCGTCCTCCATTGTGACCCAGAAGAAAAAGTTAGCGGAGGCTTAACAGAATAGCTGATTCCATCAAGATCAACTTCAACGTTGCTCTCCTAAACGGAATTTTGCCAGCGAATAGGACGGAAATCAGTAGACGAAAGGGGCAAGCCGACAAATGATCTTCGATGCCAAATTCGCTTATTGCATCAAATTTAATTTTATGCTGGATGCTGAACAGAAAATAATTTTTATTACTGCTTTGTTATCTCGCTACTTGTAGGTTATGGCTGCAGGTCGATAAATTAATGCAGTCTTAGTGGCATTGATGGCAAGTCAAAATGCAAACGTCTAAGACCCTACCAAGTGCAGCAAAGTTTTAGCACTGCTGGCGGGATTTGAACACAGGAATATCCGACCGGCAACCAGCGCTGCCATCCGCTTAGGCAGATCTGGGCAGACGGACACCAAAACAAACAGACGATACTCGAAAATTTATGACATATTTCACTTCTATAAACGACTGTCTATTGCTCGTGACAAAAATTGACAGGGAATACTCAATTCACAGTCAACTAAGAGCGACGAACTACCGGCAATTAGTTCTAAAGAACGCTGCAAACCATCGAACACCAACGAAAGCTAGTTAAAAAATGAATACAGGCACGTAATTATGGATGCCTAGAACTCACATTCAGAATCTTAAGACGAGATGGATATCTAGATCTCCACAAAGAAAAAATGGCAGCGTTTATGAAGTGTAATGAAATAAAACTAACATGATGTGTTTAAAAGGACCTGAACAAAGCACATGAGCCAGAAAACACATATGTCGAGAATACGTATAATAATCAGTTGTCAACAAAATAAACGAACCGGGAAGAGAAGTAAAGGGATGACGTTAGAATAAACCACCAATCCAGTCGAAGTGCGTGTCAAACACGAGAAAGAAGACAGAGCTGATGGGGGTTCAAAGGCGTAAGCCTCTTTCCCTTAAATACACTGACTGGCTGACTGACCTAAGCTATATCCTCTGACTTATAGGCATTTACGAGGAGAATTCACATAGACTGTCCCTACCGTACGTGGCTTAGACTGTGCCCTGGAGTGTGGCAACTTCTTCTACCTCGTCAGCATAACCAATCTACAGATCATTCTTTCAGACTAAGTTTATACTATGGGAGATTAGATGTGAACGGGCATTTTTCATAAATCATGAAATACACCCTTCCCCAGTAGTCCCATTTCCATTAAATACATTAAACTTAAAAGGCCTGGTATTCACGTAAGCTCTAAAAATCCGGGGTAAAAAGAGTCTGTTCACACAATAATACCAAAAATAACAGGAGAAAATAATTCGACAAGTCAATGTTTAACCAACTATGTCCAACTCCCCTTGTTTTAATAGCGCGATAATGTTGCGGTCCTTTCCGTGAGTTCGGTGAGGTTTGGGCGTTCTTACTGTGTGGTGGGCCTGTGTGACCAAAGTAGCCTAGCTAACTAGTCAACAAGTTACAGGCATACATATTGACACACCCAACCGACTTCTTTTAATAAGTTGCATGTATGGCTTCACATAACGACCATATAATATTCATACATATGTATGGATATATATATAAATTGAAAAACAGGCATCCCAAGAAATATAATTAGAGAGGTGAAGTTCTTTGGGAAACAGCAAAATTTTATTGTGAATTTTCGAGACTGGTTCCCCAGCTCGTCTTCAGACAACGGGTGTGCAAAAACAATTAACTTTTAGACTGAGTCTGGCAAAAGGAATCCATGATTGGTTAAGGTTGTCATCTCGGGATTGGCTGACTCAGTTTGAATCTTTCCTTAACGATTTTGTATGTAGCATCTAAATCGATAGGCCGGTTGATGCATGCCTCATCTGAGTGCATTGCCTCCAGGAATTCGCGGCCTTTCCTTGTTTGGCAGGCGCCAACAATGCGAGTGTTTTCCCATGCGAATTTATGCCCAGTGTCTAGTGTGTGCATGGCCACCTGGGATAGATGGTCGCGTCTCTTCACCGCTAACTGATGCTCATGTATACGGGTTGAGACAGATTTCCCAGTTTGGCCACAATAAACGGCATCACAACTAGAACACGGGATTTTGTAGACGACACCTTTTCTTTCGAGGTAGCCGACCCTGTCCTTAGGGTGCACTAGCTGTGTGCGTAAGTTAGTTGCCGGCTGGTGTGCTACGTCTCCCTAATCGGTGCACCCAACTATAAGATCTCGAAATGGCTATTTCGCCAACTACATCCACTAACGAAGAACTCCGAGAACTCCATTCAGGATTCAAGAGTTTTTAGACCGTTGGGTCAATGTGAATTATTCAAAATCTGCCAAAATATCAATAAAAGTTAATTGTTTAAGCAGATATATGTATACATATGGATATATACATACATATATCCATTCGTATGAATTGCATTGCAGGCATCCCAAGAAATGTAATTTGAAGGAAAAGACGTTCTTTGGAAAAGTAGAGAACTTTATTAAGTAAGTTTTTGACGCTGGTTCCCCAGATCGTCTTTAGACATCAGCAAATGTGCAAACATCAATTGAAATTTCAAATGTGCTTAAAAACCGATATTCACTTGACGTTTGCGCCAGTAAGCGGCCGCCGTGTGCGTCATCCGGCATTGGTTGGGTCTTTTCTCCTCCACTTTTCCCTGAGATTTTTGTACGTTGAATCAAACTGAATTTGTCGATCGGTGCATGTTTCATCGGATTGCATGGCTTCGAGAAACTCTCGGCCTTTTTTAGAGGGGCAAACTCCGATGATCCGAGTCTTTTCTCATACGAAGGTATGTGCAGTGTCTAGAGTGTGCATGGCAAGTTGAGACGGATGGTCACGCCTCTTAACTGCCAGCTAATCTTCATGAATGCGTGTAGACGCAGAATTTTCCGTCTGGCTACAATATACAGCATCACAGGCATCGCATTGGATCTTAAAGACGACTTATTCTTTATTAAGATAGCCAACTCTGTCTTAAGGGTTTACAGACTGGGTGCGTAAAGTAGTCGCTGGTTTGTGTGCCACTTTTATTTGGTGTTTCCTTAGGTGTCTTTCAACGAGTTCAGACACATTCTTAATGTAAGGAAGGATCCGCCAAGTTTTGACTTTGGGCGCCTGATTGGAACTCTCTAATTCCTTTGCCTTTATCTCCTGCTGTTTTATGCATCGACGTACGAAATCCCCGGGATAACCGTTCTGGGAAAATAATTTAAATAGGTAGTTTAGCTCAGCTCGGTAGCTTTCATCATCAGGGTTGGCTACCTATACCCCTGTGCTACGTCATATTACCTAAGGATGCATCATTTGACTTTTTGGCACAGCTATCTTTATGGGCGAAAGCCCATTTTGCATAATACGCAATCTTCGTCGATAGGGGTTTTCATAGAGAAGTATACATATCGTGTCCAAAACTCGGGCGCTATAGTGGATAGTAGAACAGTCAAATCCTCAGCTAACGTACCATGACGTGAGTCTTTTTCCGATTTCACACAACCCACTGGCAGAGATAGGGACTCATAAGCAGCTGCGCAAGATTTAACATCGATAACTCGCCCGGCACTTGCGGAGGTTCGGGAACTTGTTATAGGTTATGTACCCTACTTCTCAGCTATCCATCCGGAAAGTGCGACTGTGACGAAAATTTAACTAATCGTCCATTTTGCGAGTTGGTAAACACTCTCAGGGATCATGCCAAAGCATATGTGCAGCAGTCGAAGGTCTAGATTTGCCATACCCCGGGAGGCGGCTTTGCCCAACCTCAGTGGGTCAATTTATAGCTACGAGAAGCGGTCCTGTACCAGTTTAGCGCTTTCAAGGGTTGCAATTACTGAAATGACACGATTGCTCTAGCGAGATGCAACCCGAAGACCTAGTTGGGTTTCTACAATCGCGCCAAAGCTGATCCGGCTGCGTGCTTCATGTTCAAGTCACTTTTGCAGTTGCCGAAGCATCTTTATTTTGCTCCTGATCAGTAGCCGCTGTAAAATCGTGACATTTGTACATGGCTTTCGCTTTTTTGTAGGACCGGCATATGCAGAGGACGCTACAACTCGCACTGTAAACGCGAAAATTGGCTAACGTCCGTATTAGATCACTTGGATATATTTATCCTGTCAGGAGTCCAGCTGTGCTGACTCCCGAAGGGGACCAAGGTAATTTAGTCTCTCCCTCTCATCTTATCCACTAAAAGTCAAGTGGTACTTTGTTTTAGATTTCGAGTCAACGTGTGACGTTAAGCCACAGTCGAATTCGAAGGCTGAAATAAGTTGGTCCCCCTAAAATGACTTACTCCCTACCAAGTCGAGTTTCCTGTAGTTTTAGTTGAAGCAGAAACAGGCACAGTCGTGGACGAGTTTCACTCCTATGTTAGACCAACTGAAAATCAAACTTTGAGCAAATTTTGTAAAGACTTGACTGGCATTTCACAAGTAGATTTTTGCTTGTTATCGCCTTATAGGCCCCTAGGAGACTGTCGACAACGCTGAGGACTTGAAATCCGTCCTAAAAAATTTTGAATGTTGGCTTCGCTCGAAAAAGCGCGCACTTAACTGCACTTTTAAACTGGGCTCCCCAAATGCCGCTGTCTTCGTAACATGGACGGGTAGGTTATGCGCACGTAATTAACTAACATGCGCTTAGATTGGGACATTCGGACATGTCTGTGGAATGAATGTCAACGCAAAAGGCTACCATTACCTGTCGACCTTTTGAATCGAATTGACCTGAAGGCGGTCTTCAAGGTATGACATCCAGACGTTTATATGTTTTAGTTTAAGTAAAGTTGGTAACACCCACACATAGCTGACAGGTGGAAAGTCGTCTCCGGTATTTGGGATCAAAAGGACACCTAACCTTTTCACAGATGTTAGCTTCGAAGCACAACTCTCACATGCAGAACGTGGCGCCTGCATTTCAAGCCTCACTAATGACCATTACCACAACCATGAATGCCAGTACTTTGCATTGACCACCACCAGTGCTGATGACGCTGACCGCATCAACAACGGTCCGTGCTCTGCACACGTTGTGGAGACCACACGGTTTGCCTCGCGGTCCAGAGCCCCAGATAGCAGTCCTAACTTTTGGTAACCCACCACTGATTTGAATATTGCCTGATAGTGTTAGTCAAGTATCAAATGCCTGGTGAGTATTTGTCCCGGCTGCCGGTATCCTGTGCTGGACTGTTACAAGATCAGACGGTGGCAGGAGGTCCCAAGACTTTGCCTTAACTTCCTATACTGTCATTTCTCATGCCGAATTCCGTTCAGCTGTAGTTTGTAATTTCGGCATATTTATCCACTTATTTAAATGGGGGTATAAATTGAAACTATGTTCGTCAGATTTTTTAACTTTGAGATTAAGCGGATGAGTTGGTGGAGTAGAATAAAAATCAGGCTTGAGTAGCAACCCCGCCGAGCGATACCTTCATCCACATGTTAGATAAAAGTACCTGTTCTGATTGGTTAACAGCTGTATTGCAGTACGCATCACGCCATAGCTCTTCTGAGACTGAAAGGGCTGAGTCCATTCCGGGAGTTTAAGTCCCCCTTCTAGAGTCATGCGAAAACGGCATTCGCCGATCCTCATTTCAGGACGGGATATGAAAATCCCGTCTTGTCCCTGCAGGCGGCTGCAAATGACAAGCAGGCAATAGTCAAGGGACATTACTTATGGAATTCAAGCCATTTGGTGCTTATCTGCCGTCGTCAGCTGCCTGTGCCCCGGTCGGTCGCGTCTGACGGGGTCCAATGACCCACTGAGTCGGGATTCAAACCTCGACTCCTTTTTCAGTGTATGACTGACAGACGACGATAAACCAGGAACGGTAACCTCGGTCTCGTCTTTGTTGGTATTCCATCTCAGTGAGCTTCCCGGCTGGGTCGCTTTTACTTTAAATATTGAAGAAAAGCTAGCAACTGTGAAGCCTACCACAATGTCAGTGTCATACCCTCGATACGGAATGACCTTGTCACGAGGCGCTGTTAACTCGAGTATCCGAGGCTGTTTCATTGTCCTTTCTACCTTTTTGCAGCATTGGCTGACTAGTACCTGCCGATTCCCTCAGTCAGACTGGCATGGCAACTTGTCAGAGGCACTGAAAGCAGCTGGGCTTACTTTCAAGGGTCGACCCCACAGTGGGATTGACGACGCGCGGAACACGGCATTACTGCTGATCCAAATGCTTTCTAGACGGGGAACAGAGCTCACTAACTCCTCCTCGCACGCCTACTTATGAACTTTTCGTGACAACACGAAAGAAGCTTGGATCTCAAACCCCCCCCCCCCTACAGTACTTTACATTTTTGTTAACACGCCGCCTCCCTAGCGAAAATATGTAAGACGTGCCTCTGAAGCCAGGCTTGCACTCTCCTCTACAGTGTTTATGGTTAAACTAATTGGCTACAGCAGAGCAGTAGTATACACTCGTGAAACCGCGTTCCATGAAGTGTCCACATAAAATCCCCTAGGGCGTCACTGTTAAAAGCCACTTCGACCGCTCATTTTAATGCCTTTGATGAACACTGGCTCTCCGGACATTAATAGCTTGGAGACCAAAATTTACTTACTTGCGAAATATTGGTCTGTTTTAGCAAAGGCGGGTGGTACAGAAGAAGAATTTACAGAAGGATGAAAAAATTAAATGTTTTGGGCGTCTTCGTCTGCAGGGACGGCGATTTCTTCAGAACACTCGAATTGAACGGTCAAACAAGAGCGTTTACAATACACAGCACACGTTAACTTTGCTGGGCCATAAAAAGGTCAAGCGTAGTTCGAGAGTTCTAAGGGCCTATTTTGTTTCCTGTCCAGGAGGCATTCGTCGGCGCCTTTCCCGCCAGTATTCCTGCTGGAGTTTGTCTGTATAGCTAGCGGAAGCATAAAGGGCGAAGAAGCTCCCTACCACAAGAAGCGACCTAAAAACCAGATGATTTTAAAAAAGTTTGATCATACGAGTATAAGAATGCCTTGGCTATATCCGACATTCCAGTGCGCGGAGGCATACTCTTCTATAAGGGACATGGCGAGTATAACAAGTAAAAATATGAAGGAAAAGTATATGCAAAGCTAGGGGCTGGCTATGACGGCAATGCCGGGAAAGTGTTAGTCAAACCGGCCTTCTGCTCAGTTGACGGTTTCAAAGAAACTGGAAGTGCAAGATATGAAAAGCTGGGAACGGGTGCCTCGTGCGGGATGTTAGTGTTCAGAGCCATATTTGAGTGAGTGGGTGCGTAAACTTGGACACGGGCATCAACAGAGGGCGAATAAAGCAGAACAAGCATTATTTGAGGGGTTTGTGAGGATATGGACTGTTTTACGCGGCTTGAAGGACTGACCAAGGCCGTGCGGGGGCGGTCCACTCCGCCATACAGCGATCTAAGTTCGGAATCTCTAATTCTCTATACCAGCTTGGATGAGCTAGCCGGTCTGCAAGACGGAGGAAGCGTCCGCACAAAATTGTTGCTATTTGACGGAAATAATGGTTCCAGAGGAACGGGGTAAAACGCCGCGATCCCGGCTCCAGCAAGGTCAATAGGTTACACGCAAAGACAATTTCGCCTCAGGCATGTGATTTTTCCGGACTCATTGTTACTCTATTAGTTCTACTGTAGGTATCCACAATATGAACATCTCCGGCCCAACACATGTACAATGTTATGTTGGCAAGCTATCACACGAGTTACAACAAATTAACTGTACTCGGAAGTAACAGCACCCCGGTGCTGTTCGTACACAGCAGAGCATCCGCAGATACAAAGGTGCCTGGCTGATAGACGACTCCATAAATCCTGTGATACAACTCTAGGAAGTCATAGAAGTACAAGAGCGTTTGCATGAGTCGCAAGGATGCCAGGTGAGGTACCAGCTCGGTCTACGGTAGTGAAAGTTGGGTTGCGCGCGTGGGAGATAGACGAAAGCTGCAGGTATCTGACCGCCGATGATTGAGGACCATCTGTGGAGTGAGGAATACCGACTTCTCAAAGGATGCAGTCCGTAGACATCGCGAGGATATTCCAGGCTATCTTGGACGACTAATGTCGTTTGGGCACGTTCGTCGTCCGCCTCACGAGCTCAGTGTTGCTGCCCTCAGTCTGGCCCCGTTGTCCACTTGGAGGCGCCGAAGAGGAGGTCAGCTTAGAACCCGGCTCGACACAGTTCATCAAGACATTGAAGTGATTATTGGACCTTCCACACTCGACTTCCGTTGCTGGAAAGGAGAGTAGATCGAGATGTCCGTAGTCGCTGCCGCATACTGTTACCCCCCGCAGACGTAATCGAGGCCGGCTAGATTAGGCATGATCACAGCTACACCAAGTACAAGTGAACTCGGTCAACCTCCGGACTGAGGGTCAGGCTGCAAAGGCATTTTCTTAAAGTGATCTCTATAAAAACGCGCGATCTCTGGTTACGTATGACACGTCAGAAGAAAGCCATATGCTGGGTCGGTCACAACGCGATTACGGTCGTCACGTCTTGCAGGTAGGAGGACAGCAGTCCTGTGGACGGCTCAGGTTGATTGAGGTATTTTGATTATGTCCAACGTGGGTCGCAATAGATGCACGGGCTGTCTGAGACATCTAAGCTCCCCTGTTTATTGATTAGGAAATGTTCCTTAAAAACGTATACTTCATAGTGTGCGCTGGTGACGAAGACAATACTCGCAGTCCAGGAAGAGCAATCGGAGAGTGTCCATACTTTTCTCGTACAGTGACTTCAGTCAGTCTGGGAAGCCGAAATACTCGTATCCTTCTATAAAACCTGATGGTCGGTTGACCGGACAGGAAGAAATCTTAGGTTACTTACGAAGTGAACGGCAGAACCTGAACAGTGCCCAAGTATATGAGGGAAGTGCAGGACAAACCTTCCCTGGAAGTTGTCATCAAAAGGAAAAAAGATGAGATGGTGGGGTCGCCCTTATCATTAAACGTGACATCATCAGCCCATTACTTCCTGCTTCCACGTATAATCAACGATCGTAGAATCAGGCATGATCACGGTTGCACCAAGTACGAGCACAACAGTGAGCAGGGGGTGAAAGTACTCTCGATCGCGAACGGCTACAGCCCTGTCGCCTTCAGCAAGTCATGATGCGGAGGATAACTTCTAAAGGGAGCTACACAACCTCTTTGTACGGGCATCCAAGGTTGGCACAAATAGGCACAGTCCAGGCCGTCGTGCTTTCCCGGGTCTTTTTTGCGTTTTTCCATCCCTCTATCAGATGCATCCTCTGAGCAGCAACCGATGCACGGTCCTAGTAGCATCGTATAGTGACTACATGCGATTTTGTCGCGACTTACTGCTATAAGAGTATTGCGCTGTCTGATTGAACTACATGGTTGTACCATACCCGCAATCACTGGTTGCCTTCATTTCTCACGCCCCCACGGTGCGCGCACGCCAAAGCCGACACTTGCATGAGTGTAGCGTGAGGTATGTGCCCGAAGGTGGTCTAATGTGCTTTACTATTTACCATTTTCATTGTAAATTTTGCCCTCGAACTTTGTCTGAAATGCTGGAAAAGAACGTGAACGCCTAATTCGGTTACGTGTGAAGAATAATGTAGACGCAATGTTTCCGCAGACAAGGAAGCAGGGCACTTTGTTCACAGAAACAAGCGGACCAGAATTATAGACCGTTCACTACTAGAGGAATGTGGGAGAGAGACGTCGTTTGAGGGCTTGTTAGACCTTGGTTTCGGGGAACGTGAAAGCATCAGGCCGTCACCATCATTTGAGGCTGCTGTCTGTAGCGGGGATAGTCATATGACTATGCGCAGATAGCATCATCGTCACTGGAAAATTGCGGACGCACGTTGATGTACAAGATCGGTTGCGTAACTGGGCTCCACAGTCCAATATTGGGCAATATCACTTAAGCAGCCTTCTATAAATATTCAGGCCAGTTGCATCGCACTTCCCTACAGGTTCTCGGACGCTTCTTAAGGCATCGTATGCCCTACAAGCAGGCCTCATGAATAGTGAGGAATACGTTAACGCTAACGACTTCGTTTTATTTCAGAGATCGATTATATAGTGGTTAACGTAGCTATAGACGGTTTACCTATAGTTGCGACTATGGGTAAACCGTCTATAGCTAAGCCGATAGTATTTTTCAATCGAAAGTAATGTCTGAATTCTAGCGCTTTATGTAGTTCGAAACGTTATTTGTTGGAAGCTTTTATATTTGGTTTTCATGGCCCACAATATAAAACAAATATCGTGGGCCATAAAAACCAAATATACAAGCTTCCAACAAATGACGTTTGGAATTAGATAAAGCGCTAGAATTCAGACACAACTTTCGATAGTAAAATACTATCGGCTAAAGACTCCTATCAGAGAATCAGAAGCAGCGGCAGTAGTGCAACATATTAGGCAAGGTTATTTATGCTGCAGTGGTTAAGAGAATGTAATAAATCTGTGTTGACAGTGGGCCGCAAGACAGCAGGGAGCAAAAGTGCTGTTGCCTGCCGCCCACCACAGGGGAAACTCCCACACGTCCAGGCCGCGATTCGCAACGCGAAGACCAAAATTGGTCCATGTTTTGAAAAATGGACATCCCAGGGCCTTGGGGAGTTCGCGGCATGTTACCACTGTCTTGACTAGGGCAACCGACAAAGCTACGCTTAGCATTTAGACTGCTTGGTTGGAGCCCTTTAAGCCGCTCTGCTTGCCTCCTGCTAAAGTTTCCCAGGAACGTGAAAATTCAGTTCAGTTTATTTAAGGAAGTAGGCTGAACCTTTGGGTACTTTATTCGCAAAGTAAAATTAATGGCGGTGTGCATAAAGAGCATGTGGTTTGAAATAATCCAAACGTGGTTCGAATCACAGCTGTGCGTACAGACTGTCAGCATCAGCAGTTTCTGCTTCTAATAGTAATTTACGCGCGCTAGTTTATTAGGAGACATGGACATGTGGAAGGGCACGAAACTGCTCCAATTCTTGCTGCACACGGGCGTAGTTGTTCTTATTGCTGTTCACTGCAATATGTTGCTTAGTACGCCCACGTTCGTACAGGTAATGGGCTCACTTCTGTAGCCGTTTATTGCGAATGATTGCGGATAGATTTTCCTCGTTATATGGGAAGGTTGAAATGGTGTACAATGTTCAAAGCATTGAGCACTTTGTAGACGGTGTTTCACGACATAGTCCGCTAGATAGTTTTTCATCCTTACCTTTCGAAATATACCTCGGTAGTCTCAAGCGCTTGCTTAGGAATCCATCGCAAACGCTGCAACAAGCAGTTCGTAGATTAGACGAACTGCAGCGTGTGGCTCGCGGCATCTACCTTCCTACACAGTGGACGGGCAGGCAGCAACATGTGGGTGGTGCACTTCCACTGCGTGGTGGTTTAGTTTCGCAATTGAAATGTGTTCAGAAAGGCAAATTTGTCAGTGTTACTACACTCGGTGAGGGCTCTGTGGACATAGATGAGGAATTAGCTAGTGTTAGAAATATAGTACCTTATGCCTCAGGTGAGACTGAGTTGGTTTACCTGGAGTTATATAACGCAGAAGACTGCTTCTACTATGGTATTCAGTCCTCCAAAATAAGGGTTTTAAAGTGTAGGCTGGAGAATGACAATCACAGCTGCCCTTTGCCACCCACGGTGCAGAAGCATGCGTGCTATCCCATGCAGGATGACTTCGTCCTTATTGAAATTGGTGGGCGTTGGGGCTTTGCAAACGGTGAGGCGGCTCAGAAGCTTATCGGTTGATGGTTAAATACGTCTGACGACTGTCTTACCTCGCATTTTCCTTATCAATTACTGGCCTCAGTGATATTACAACCGCGAAACGGTCACCTCCTGCGAATGCTACAGCCCAACAGTCCCTTAATTACTGATTTGCAATTGGTGAAGGGGTATAGTGGGAGTTTGCATGGGATTCACTCTGATAATTGCTTACCTTATCCTGATGGGTTACAGATTAGTATTTGCGACAGACCACATTGCAACAGTAAGCCAAACAATAAGTACGAGGGTCCCAGTTCGGTGTCCGGAAACGTTCGGTCCCCTTCGTCCTCATCGGCAAGGTTTAGAAAAACAAATGACAAATTTACCTTTTAGGTATCGTCCACAGATGACGACTCAAGCGTTACATTGCCAGGGGATTAGCTTTCAGGTATACCAGTAAGCTATTCCTTTGCTTATACGCTTGTTTTAAATCAGGCGCCGAGGATGATTACACCTAGACTTAAACGGCGTCATCACAGCCGTTCACAGTCTGAACGTAGACATCATAAGCAAAATGTGCGGCCGCAGTGGATGATTGAAGCCCTTTACCAGATACTGTTCAAGCTCAGTGAACAGAAAGCAGAAACTCGGTCCTTCGCCAGGAGGTTCAACGTCTGACAGCAGCGGCATTGCAGCCGGCAGCAAATGAAGGGCATAATGTGCAACGTATCGATACAATGTGTGCCTACGAGGAACTGACGACGGCAGTAGCAGATGCAACGTACAGACTGCGTTTGCTAAATGGTGTCTCCTTTTTGTGCTCAATGGGAGGTGAAAATATGGCAGGATTTGCTGAAAGAATATTATTCGCCTTCTTCACAGAAGATGTAGCAAATTTATAATCTTCTATGGATGGAAAGAGGGCAGTCGGGGTTTACTTGAACCTCCAATCTACGCGGTCATCCCGGGTAATATTTGTGCTTTGTATAATTTTCATTTTGCTTAACGGACTTCTAATCTCAAAAACTATGCATTGCACTTTGTGCAGATTTTGCCTACATCGTCTAAAATTTGCATGTAAATTTATTTTTACTTGCTTTGATGGGACCCCGACGGGTCTTTAATAAAATAATTGAATTGAATTGAAAAAAATGCATTTCAGAGGTTTTCAGTATATAGAAAAGGGACCATAAGTCGGACCAACAAAAACTAGAAAAAGCACTGAAAAACACTTCTAAAAGACACCACAGTACCAAACTTTGTCGAAATGATATCGAGTAGATATGTATTTTCCGGAATATTTATATCGAGTTGATGTCGATTTTGTCCGCTGTTAAGATAACAAGTAGATATATGTTTTCCAACATACTCCAGGAACGGCGATAGCGAGACGTTAGGCACTGCATGCGTTGCATTTACTTAACCCAATACCCGTACGTTATTCTATCACTTTTAAATTGCCTTTGTCATACCATTCCTGCCCTACTTAGCCCGCCATTGTACGTGTAGATGAACGACGAAATTGACGTAACTATGCCAGCCGCGGTCAATAATTTTGAAGACAACCTATATGGAAAAATTTTGTTGAATTAACTGAATTAAAAAATTTGATTCATTGGTGGCGCTTGCGAGGATGAAGATAGATCTCTCGTCGAACATTCCGGATTGTTTTCTATAGGACAGAATTAAGCATATAAACCTTGAAGTTAATTCAGCTATCCGGATAGTCCTGTTGCCGTTCTTTTGAATCCGTTGGGCACAATTGTCTGACGACCGTTTGGATTGCTTCGTGAGTTCAGACTCCAGATCAGATAGCCTGGCAGTGGCAGTACTGTTCTAAACGGCGAAAATATCTACATATATAGACAGTGGGACACTAAACTGCATACTTGCCCAATATGACATTATCAACCTCCGACTGACTGAGGCTGTCTTTTAGTTTACGCTCCTTTACGTTCACGTGGAGATTAATCTCGTCCTCAAGAAGCGCAGCGAATATACGCTTAACGAAGTCGTGTAAGTTATTTCACCTAGGCGGGTGAGGAATGAAACCTGATGCCTTGTATAGTGATAAAACGGAGAGCCGTTATCAAAAGAAGTGCCATGGGCTTCCAGGAGCCGACCAAGAAGTGGTGATTTATGATATGTTTGTGTTACTAATAAATCGCAATGGTTATAATAGGCAAGGTTGTGTTCATTTACACTTGTGAAGTGTTTCCCTTGTAGGCCTTCCACAATGGACGAATCGGGCACCCAACAAGGGGACCGACTGCCGTAGAGTATTATAAGAGCCCACAGATGTCTCATAGTTTTTTTTTACTAACAGACAACTTTTTCTGTTGAAATGTAATGCTTTGATTTCTTTACGAGGTCTTGGTGAGGAGAAAATTAAGGGCGATAAGGCAGTATGGTGAAGGGGACACCTCACTGAGTAAGCCGAGAAGCTCGTTTTTTCGAGCTCGGCTCAAGCTCGGAAGGAGGTCGGAAGCCCGTTTCCCAGAGCTCGTTTAGGGCTCGTTTTAGCGAGCTCCGAGCAAGCTCGGATCAACGATCACATCAGAATTCAAATAAAGCTCGCGCAGCTCGAGAAATGAGCTCTGTGCGAGCGCGTTCAGAGCCCTTTTTGCAATTAGGGAGGGGGAGAGCTCAATCTCTTTTCGCTCTTTTTCATTTCGTAACATAAATATATCAAGGTTCCTCGTAAACATTTGCGTCGATGCTGACACCACAACGTGTGCGGAGATAGCATTCCGTGGTTTGACCATTTTGAGAGAGAATGGGAACTTGCACACAACCAGCTTTGCCTGCTGAATATGCAGTTTGAACGGGCTACACCAGAGGTTCGTCAGGGTAGCGGATTCAAAAGTCCTCTAAGGTGAGGCTGCAGTCCATTCTTTCCGCAAAGTGGAATGCTTATAAGAGATTTCCGCGCAGACTTACGATAAATACAGTAGTCGCAGTCATCGGCTTAAAACGCTAAAAGCTTATATGAGCGCAAAACGTGAATATAAGTATACACTTCGAAGCAATATTTGATATATATATATACGGTCCTTGTTGGAGTCAAATCTGTGTAGAAAGGCGATGTGCACGCGGGATGTTGGAATCGTTTTAGATGTACGATAGAAGGACAGCACACAGCAAAATAGGAAACGTGGATGTAAATGTAAAATCCAAAGACAAGCAGAATTAGAAAAACACGAAATTAACCAGGATTCGACTACAGACCACAAAAATATGCTTCGCTTATTAAAACAAGGGAAACCAAAATTGAAGATCAATGAGTTGTTCGCTAGTTTTTACCCCCGAGTAGCATAATTCTAGCACTATACCTCCCTGAATAATGATGTCATTTACGATATTAACATTGCCATCGGAGGTTGGAAATTTCGTGCGAATCTGTGAACTCTACATGTTTCATCAAACGAAATTCAGGCATAGGGTCATTGCCGACAATACAATGATTCCCAAATCAGATGTCAGGGAAGGCAGTTTGTACTGGACAACTTTACTGACGTTCAAGAATTTGCCGCAAGTTGAACCTCCAGTCAAGCTGTGTATGTAAACTAAAAGTATTTCAAGATCTCGGCGAACAACCATTGCCGCAGACATTCCAGAACGTCCACAGCGGGATACAACAGAAGTGCCTGTAAGTTAAGGAGGATAAGTCTAACGTTTTCAACCCATCTTGTTACCATAAATCTCTAAGAACATCAACAATATTCACTGATATCCGTTGCACATATTTGGGAGTTCACATTAAGGAAAGTTCGAGAAAAATTTGATTTATTACACAATAGCTGGAGACCATCTCCAAGCAGATATATTGGTGTTTTGTTGTCCGCAAACGATGACGGTTAGGCCGAATATGCCGATATTCCCGCCTTTTAATAGAATTCTTGCTCCAATAGAAGCAGTGCGTTCCCACCCCCAATCATTTTTCATCCACGGCAGTTTTACTAATGCATTCTTCATGCTAGTGTCCATTCTGGGACAGTTAACTCATCCGCCCCTCTGTCTCGCTCGGGCGGGAATAAGGTACAGTATCCCGCACGTGGATTTCAAGCCGAAAATGAGCTAGATAACAATGGGCCCCAGTTACCCTGCTCGCCATTTCCTCCCACAAATCCCCACTCCCCTTTATCTGCGTCAGAAATTTTTCATGACACAACATTTTGCAGAACCGGATGGGTGCATTCAGACAATGCGTTCCATGGGCAGCCAGCACTGGACGACGTAGCCCACCTCCCTCAGAAACAAACAGCCTTTCCTTTCAAAATTTATGTTCTAAATGCCGGATAGTCACTAAATAGTTCAGTTCAGTTCAGTTCAGTTTATTGAGGGAAATAGGCGTAAGCCTTTGAGTACCCTATTTGCAACGTAAAAAATGTGTGGTGTACAGATAGATGTTCTGGGCTGAAATAGTTCGAACATGCCCGTAATGGTGGGACAAAATGAGAAGGAGTTACAGGGGGGTGAGCTCGACTTCTCATCGCTCTTGGTCATTTCGGAACATAAATATGTCCAGATTCTTCTTAAAACTTTGTATAGATGGTGACATCACAACATCTGCGGGAAGGTCATTCCATGGTTTGACCACCCGGACCGAGAAGGAGAACTTCCGCACATCCAGCCGTGCCTGCTGAGTGCGCAGTTTTAACGGGTGACCTCGGAGGTTGGTCGTGGTAGCAAATTCAAAAAAGTCATCGAAGGCCAGACTGCAATCCAACCCCTTTACAATGCGGAAGGCTTGCAACAGATCTCTGCGAAGTTGCCTGTAACTCAATGGAAAGAGGTTCAGATTTACTAGGCGGGTCACATAAGGAAAGGAGCTTTGACCCCTAACCATTTTCGTGGCTCTCCTCTGGACTCTCTCGAGGCAGTTTTGATCCACAACAGCCAACGGCCTCCAAGCTTGTATGCCGTACTCTAAATGCGGCCGGACGAATGTTCCGAATGTCTTAGAGAAAGCTTCTTCATCAAAGTCCATAAACGCACGCTTGATGGCGTACAGTACGGACATTGCGGTTTTTGCCACCCTCGAACAGTGGGCGGATGGTTTTAGGGAACTGGTCGTCAGCACACGGAGGTCCCTTTGCGCTTTGACCTCTTGTAGGGCTGCACCGCCCAGAAAGTAGCCTCTTGTGCTGGCGGATCTGGCTGTGTTGCCTAGGCGAAGTATGCTGCATTTGGCAACGTTGAACCGCAGGAGCCAACGGTTTGACCACTCCTCCAACCGATTCAGGTTCATCTGCAGTCTGTCTTCATCGGCAGGACTCCGAATTACACTCCATATCTTCATGTCATCCGCAAACATTGCTACTTCACAGTCCAAATCTCCTGCGGCATCGTCCACGTAGATAAGGAACAAAATGGGTCCCAGAACTGAACCCTGGGGGACACCACTATCGACCATAGCCGGATCTGATTTTCCCCGACCAACGCACACAACCTGCTGTCGACCCACAAGGAAGTTTTCGATCCATTTAAGGAAGTTGCCACCGATCCCTATTTTTTTCAGTTAATGTAAGAGCCTTTGGTGTGGCACAGTGTCGAACGCCATCTGGAAGTCGATGAAGGCTATGTGGACCGCGTGCTTGTCGCCGAGAGCTTGGGTCCAGCTCTGGAGAGATTGCAGTAGGTTTGTCGTGCAGGATCTTCCTTTTCGGAACCCATGTTGGCATTTCGATAGCAGGCCGTGAACTTCCAGGAATTGCATCAGTTCAGTCTTTATGATCCTTTCCATCACTTTGCAGAGAATGCATGTCAAGCTTACGGGCCGGTAATTTGTCGTCGCTGCCCTGTTACCTCCTTTGTGTAGCGGAGTAATATGCGCCAGCTTCCAATCGACAGGAAGTGTTCCAGTGTCAAATGACGTTTGAAAGAGCATCGACAAAGGCACAGAGAGCTCACTGGCAAGTTCCTTCAGAAGCTTGGATGGAATCTCGTCTGGTCCTGTCGACTTCGATTCGTTCAATGCCTCTAATTCTCGTCGGACAATGCCTTCTGAGAAGAGTATATCACTGACGCTTGGAGTCGGCAGTTCTTCTGTGGAGGGAGGAAGGAACCTTGCCTCGTTTTTGTAGACTGATTGGAAAAACCGTGAAAAATACGCAGCTTTATCCCTACTATCAGCGATCTCAACGCCATCAGTAGTCTTTATCAAGGGGATTTGATGCCTGTTCCTTGTAGTTCGTCGGAGGTAGCTGTAGAGCAATTTTGTGTCCTGCGTTGCTTTTTGTAACAAGTTCTTCTCGAATTCCCGCCGCGTCTGCATTATCAACTTCCTCAGTTTGTTCCTCTGTGTCTTGTAGGTGTTGAAGCATTCAGCTTGTCTAGTGACGCGGTATTTTCTCCACAATTTGTGCTTCCTGTTGATTTCTTTCTTGAGGTTGCTATTTAGCCACCCAGGGCGTTTGTTCAGTCTTACACTAGTCAGTGGGCAGTGGTTGTTGATGAGCTGCAGAAGGACATTCTTGAACAGCTCCCAGTCATCGTTGGCACTTCCCGTAAACAAAGAGCCCCAGTCAAGACCGGATAAGTCTGCCCTCATCTGACTGAAGTCGCCCCGCCAAACATTACGCCTTTTGTGGTCTGGAGTATGTGAAATGGAGAATAACGAATAATCCCACATAAGCACTACGTGGTCACTTCGGCCAAGGGGCGGCAAGGAGGTGATCTCGTCTATGCTGTCTGGTGTTTTCGTAAAGACCAGATCCAGGCAGTTTGCCCTTTGTCCTTCACGTGTTCTCGTTGGGAACATTACATGTTGTGTGAGGCACGCATTTAATGTCTTGCTCAACAGGCGGTAATTGAATGCCGATTTTGGACCTGACGCTTGGAGGGTATTCCAGTTTGTTCCTGGTGCGTTGAAGTCGCCCATGATCATGATGTTAGGTCGACTGGAAAATTTATCCAACTGCTCCAATAGTTGAGTGTCGGCGATTCGGTCTGTCCTAGGTGGTCGGTAAACAGTGAGGACATCGAGACACGGGGAACCGGTAGCCTTGATGGTCAACCAGATAGCTTCCGTACTGCACGCAAACTTGGTGGTGTTATCCGACACTTTCAGACCGTCATTCACATACACAACGATACCACCACCCTGACGATGTTCCCTGTCCCTCCGATAAATTTGGTATCCAGGCAAGGCTACTTCGTTATCGCTAATATTCCCGGACAGCCAGGTCTCAGTTACTGCTAAAACATCTGGAGACAGCTCAACAAGGCAAAGTTTTAGTTCGTCTAGTTTCGACATGAGGCTTTGGGCATTCGTGTACAAGCACCTCAGTTTTGCACCAGCCGAATTTCCCGTTGCATTTGTTACTGCTGTGAGCATTACTTCGTTATCGCGGACGTCGTGTTCTCTAGGCTCTTCCGTTACCTGATTGGTTCCATTTACATGCCCTGTTTCAGTCAGATCACTGGACGTTACGGGCTCACTTGTGTTGGCGCCTTGATCAGGTAGTTCAACGAAGGTGTCTGTTTTAGCTGAGTAGCTGTCGTCGTTCGTAGTATTACAGGCTGGTTCCACTGAAACGGCATATATTTCCGAACTACCTTCCCCTTGAAGATAGCCAGATTGTGTTCGCCATCCTTCAGTCTTGATTTTAACTCCAAGACAAGTTCCCGGCGTTTCAACCGTTCCGCTGGTGAATAGTCCGGTTAAAAAAACCTGTTTGTGTGTGTTTCTGAGGTCGGTTTTTTTTAGAGAGGATAAACTTGATTTGCTTTTTGTTCTCCATCATAATTTTGAGAGGGCGAGGTGGTTGTGCTACTGTCCTGTCTTCATTCCTTTTTCCTATCCGGAATGCTTTCAGAACCTTTATTTCCATGTCTGCCGGCAGTAAATGATTTAGCAGACCATGAAAAGAAGCAAGGTCCTCTGAGACACGGTCTTCAGGTCTGACTGCATTCGATTCTGACAAATCCTGAATAACCAGACACTGCTGGCGAGCATGGTCCTCCTTACTCTGTCTTTCCGGTGAATGCGCTGCATGTGGGCGAGGACGATTTACGGAGTCATCGCTTGGACGCACACTTTTACTGTCTACCGACTGTCCCGAGCAACCCATCAGGGCTGGCTGGGACTTCAGAATCCTGTCATGGCGTTTCCCTCTCCCCTCTACCCACGGGTTTATGTCTTCACATTCGGATACGTGGTCTGTAGTGCGCTCGGGGTGGTTGCCAGAACAAGAGGGCAAGAGTAGACTGGATGACCCAGGTATATCGTCTCCAGGCAGAACAGAAATCCCATCACTTACAGCAAGAGGCTTAGGTGACATGGATTCCGCGAAAGGTAATTTTTTTGCGACATCGCTTAAGACATCGTGCGTGGGAATCGAGTCTCCTTTTATCGGCGGCTTCGTTTTAATTGTCCTGCTGTTACCGGCGTCTGCGGTTTTGGCTGTTGAGTTGCTACTCGTGTTTGAAGATTCCTCCGAGGAGATATTTTTTCGCTTTTTTGCGTTTTGCTCTTCGTTTTTGGGATTCTAACACTGGACACATTGTGGCCGACTACGGTCTGTTTCACGAGCGTCCTTAAATCAGCAAGCTCCTTTTCCAGTTGTTCTACTTTGATTTGAATATCTGCGCACCCAACACAAGGCTCGTCTTCATACCTCACACTTTTTGCGGTATTTGCGCTTTTTGCACGCTTTGCTGGTCGTTGGCTGGAGGTGAAGGTAGAGCGAGCACAGGGTCTGGATGCGAAGGACAACTCACCGGACTTATCTTCCAAAGAGGTGCCGTCGCTGGCCGTACTACTACAGTTAGCTTGCTGAGAATCCATAAACTTCGACGTGATATAATAGGTATAATTCCGCTTTCGATGTTATAACGAATACGTCGGCTTATATATGATGAATAAAAGTGAGTATTTAAAACTCAATAAGCGAAAAAAATACTTAAAATCCGATAAATTTTGTAGAATTTAATCAGAAGCGGCTTAGCCCTTTCCAGATCTCGTGGGACTTGAATAACTGCAGACCTTGAAGGATTTTGAGCGATTGGTTTTCTAGGCTGTATACCGCGAATCGGTTGCGTAGCCAGTTGCGTTGTCAGTTGGACAGTGCTGATAAACAAATTGCACTTAATCCAGGTTCCTGGCGAATTTCGATGCGTGAAAAAATATTCCAAAAATGCACAAAGTTAGTCTGTACGTACGGTTCCAGAATCAATGTCAGAGACTGTAACTGTGGAATGGTATCCAAGTCGAAATTGTCCCAGTTGGAGCGCAGAATAATTCCGTCGTGCTCAGTTGTGCTCAGTTGCTTTGTCTCAGATGCCTTTATCTCAGACCATGGTGTTCGTCCGCTGTCCAGATACTGTTTTAGTAACTGAGACATGAGCATCAGCTTCCGTAGCTGATTCCAAACTCTCTCTTCTAGGCTATACTTGCATTCGAAATGATCGTCAACACAGCCGTGGTGGGGACAGTTGCGTCTACGTTAAACAAACACTTATAATTCTGCCGCTGGACCTCTCACATTTTTCTGCGGTAGAAGGCAGCTGCTGGCTCCAGGATTCATTAAAAATAAGCTCTCCTTACTCGTTGGCTGTGTCCACCGCCTTCCCAACGCCAATGAGGATTTTTATCGATAAGTGTCACTTGCATTTCATGCTGCGGCCGAATTAAGCCTTAAGTATCAATTGGTTGCGGCTGATTCTAATCTCCCCGAAGTCCGCTGGTCTCCGCCTTCCGACACCAGAAGGTTCGAAGACTTTCTTGAGGCGGTCGATGTTGGGATGTGGACTCAGGTTGTCGATTTTCCCACCCGAGGATCAAGCATACTTGAACTTATTATCTGTAGGGGCTGCATGCCATCGTCAGTGTCATCCGTAGGACCACTCGGGGGCTCAGACCATGACATAGTTATTTCAGTGTTGGAACTCGAGGCTGACAAAACGTTGTCCCCAAAGTATAGCTTTCTCCGCGATTGCCGATCAGCTCGCTCAACCGAATTATTAACATACCTTAATCGTACGACTGGACTGATTTCTTCCTTAGTCCGGATGTAAATGTTTGCACTGCAAAACTGTACGAAATTTTGGATCCGCTTATTTATCGTTTTGTCCCCGGTAAGAAAATTATTAATGTTGGGGATGAGGTTCTCCTACCCTTACCCTTTCACCGCAGGTTGCACAGAATTGCTCATCGATTCCACCTTCAAAACGATGTTTCCGTTCTGCCCTTGATTTGTGGTAATTTTGAGCGGGCTAAGAGATTGTTCAAAGAAAATCAGCTAGCCGAAGATGTCCTATTTACCGACAACCGCTCGTTAAGTGTCCCTAAACTTTCCTCTTGAAGAGTGCGAACTCACAGAAAGACGCAGCATCCCATCCTCCGAGACGCTCTTGGAAATCCTATAGTTGATGACCAGTTAACCGCGGATAGCCTCAATGCTTTCCTGTCCATAACGTTAATTGAGGACGCCAGCAATTCTCTTCCAACCATCCTGACATTGTCCGGGGGAGTTCTAGAAACTGTAACTTTCACTCTGTGGGATGTGACTGTTGCGATTCGGCGTTTTTGTCAAACTCATAGCCCTGGTTCTGATAGTGTCTAAGTAAGCATTTTAGAAGCCGATGCATATACGATTTTCCCATCCCTCTTATGCAAGATATCTAATCTCGTTCATGAATGCGAAGCCTATCCTACGTTGTGGAAGGAATCACACATTTTGCCTATTCCTAAGCATGGCAAATCTACGTTATTTAATGACTTTCGGTTAATAAACACTGCCTGCATTTTGAAGATTTTAGAGACATTGATCAAAGATAAGATGATGTGTCACTTAACAGAGAATAACATACTGAGTGTTGCTTAGCATGGATTGCTCAAAGCTCGGTCTTGTGACACCTGTCAACTTTCTTACTTTGACTGTATTCTCCAATCTGGGGATAATGGTCTTGCACTTTACACAGTGTATTGCGATTTCACTGAGGCTTCTGATCGTGTTGACCATGCTCTTCTTCTCTTGAAACTCTCCTCTTTCTGAATAGGTGGCAAACTTCTGAATTTTATGTCCTCCAAATTGGACGCTAGTGCATAACGAGTTAAGATTTCCAATGCTATCTCCAACCCCATATGTGTGAGGAGTGGAGCCATTCAGGGTAGTGTATTCGACCCGCTTTTATTTTGCCTTTTCGTTAATAATGTACCCGATTTATTTCAGAACGGTAAGCCTTTCATGTATGCCGGTGATCTTAAACTTGCATATCGATATAAACCGGCTGATCGTGACATAGTGCTTGAGCTCCTAACGATCGACCTACAGGCCTTTGCCCAGTGGTGCCGCACATGGCGCCTATCTCTCTCTTGGCATAAGTGCTCAGTCATGGTGGTTGGCGACGACCACCAACCTCAACTAAGTCCTGACAGTCACGCCATAAATGTGCCGGGGGTTAATTAAGGTCTGGGTGTATCATATTCCAAGAACCTCAATCTTTCGGAGCACTGTGCTTTGATCGTCTCCAAAGCCCGTAGAACGACCGGGTTTATCCACCGAAACATTAAAACTAGCGACATTAGAATTCCCCTTTATAGCATGTACGTCAGACGTGGCCGGGAATACTGTTCATTTTTATTTAGCCTCATGCGTGCTGCTGAGCGGAAGAAAATGGAATCCGTTCAACACTTTTTTACCAAGAGAGTTTTAACACCGGAAAATCGACACTTGTCTTAGCGAGAACGTGGCCGGCTTACAGGTTTTAATACTTTATGGTTTCGTAGATTACCAAAGGAACTTTTTTGCTATTTAGGCTTTTATATAATCGTACCTTTAACCCACTCACTACCTTAAGACATCTTGTCAATCCCCCATGTAGCAGTCACCGTGAGGTCTTTTTATTTCATCCTTTGGAATGTACTGTTAAATATCGTCGGTTATTTTCTGTAAATGCAATTGCCATTTGGAATAAACAACCCGGAAATGTGAAACCTCTGCATTATTATCCTTCCTTTAGGAGAACTATTACTCCATATTTGCATGCAGAAAACTCCCACAAATTATGGGTTCCGAATCTACTGATCGACTATGCCGTATCTAAAAGACTTTCATCTAGGAGCAAACATCCACTTAATCTTGTCAAACTATTTTCGTCGATAGAGGTGTACTTTATTTACTCACATTTGGAGCGCTCAGCACAAGATCTCAGGGAAAAAATAAACTTTTTATTAATCGGGATAGAACTCCATTGCAGCGAATAGTTTTGCCCCTCATTAACAAAATAAAGCCTTTCGCCTCTGAATTTTTTTCCCCCAGGGCTTCAACCGAATCTCCTCTCTATCCTCAGCGGCCCTAGTGTCATCTGACTCTTCAAATGAGCGCTCTATCA